CTAGCTGCGGGCGTCCGGAACCAACGTCTACCCTCTCATTTACCATTTGGTATAGATAGGTACCTATATACATGAGCACTGGGCACAGCTCACATATATCTGAGTTGCCTGTATGTATTATTTTTCTATACATATAACCAGAAACGCTGTGTACAGATATTCCACATATATCCCTTCTCTTTTCTCAGTACATATATATATATATATATATATATATTTCCCTCTTTCTCTATCAGTCAAAACAGCCTATTTCTCTTCCTCTGTAATTTAAACATTCATCGCCTCTCCTTCTTGCACATATGCGAAATACACCTTTATATAAATATATTTACACACAATATAGTTACATATGTTGACAAATATGTAACGTGAAAAAAATAATCGAGGGGGTGTGGAAGAAGAAGAAGAAAATGATATAAGAAATCATTTCAAGAAAATAGATGCCATTAATGACAAAATAATCCTTCTGCACTGATATACACTGAAAAAAAAATTTATTTGACTCAAATAATCAGTTGACTATTATCAAATAAATATTTATTTATATCAAATAATTATATTATTTGAGTCAATTTAAATAGTATATTTGTTTCAAATACAGAAATAATTGGTTCAAATACAGTTTATTTCACAGAAAATTAAAAGGCATTAAAATAAGCTGCAACGCTTCTTATTTTAATATACAATTTTGCTTATTTTAATACCAAAATGGATTAAAATAAGCAAAATTGGATTAAAATAAGAAGCGTTGCAGCTTATTTTAATGCCTTTTAATTTTCTGTGTTGATTCAAATAAAAATTATTTGATTCAAGTATTAAAAATTTATTTGACAATACTCAAGTAAACCGATTATTTGAATCAAATAATTTTTTTTTTTCAAAAAATGTATTTCATTGAAATAATCGACTATTATCAAATAAATATTTACTTGGACCAACTAATTTTTATATGAATTAAATAAAATGTATTTAAATTAACAATTTCTGTATTTGAAACAAATATATCATTAAATTGACTCCAATAATTATTGTTTGATATACAAAGAAATATTTGTTTCATGTAAAACAACTGATCATTTAAATTAAATAATTTTTTCTTCTGTTTAATATCTTCAATAATATATCATTGAAGAAATATATTTTAGTTATACGTAGAATTCGTCAAAAAAAAAATACTGCAAAAAAATAAAGGAACAATGCGAGTAATAAGAAATAAGGGTGTAAAACAAAGCTTTCTAAAGAGGAAATCGATTCTATTTTATCATTGTATAAATCAATATAGTTCAGAATCAAAATACGAAGAATTATATAACAAAAGGCATTATTTTGTTAAAACGTTAATAAATTATGTATAGAAATATGCGAATCAAAAACATTTTACTAATTCCCATCATAAAAAAAGACTATTTTTTAATTTGCAAATTTATAAAATAATCGCAAAAAAAATAGATTAATATTTCTCTTCTTTTTATCTATATATAAGATTAAATCAGAATCAAAAATGAACTTTAAGTTTTGTTTTTGACACTCAGAGAAATAGTATATTTGTCTCAGAGCCTACTAACTCATTTATTTGTTGCAAATATATTTTTTTTCATTGGAATAAAAAATTTATTTAAACTAAACAAAAATTTATTTATGCAAAATAAAATTTTTATTTACACCAAATAAATATGTTAGTTTGCTCTGTGACAAATATACATTTATTTAATTCAAATATATTTTATATTTGATTTAAATAAATCATTTCTCTGGGTGTGATATCTGAATTAAAACTTTCTTTAATTTTGATTCACGCACTGAAAAAAAAATTTATTTGATTAAAATAATCGAGCTATTATCAAATAAATATTTACTTGAACCGAATAATTTTTATTTGAATTAAATAAATTATATATTTGGAGAAATATTTCTTTATTTGAAACAAATACCATCTCAAATAACAATTATATTTAATATACAAATAAATATTTATTTGTTAATAGTCAAGTAAACGATTATTTAAATCAAATAAAACTTTTTAATCTCTCAATCAAAATAAGTATATGAGTTTAATGAATGAAATTTAATTTTAATTCCAGTTAAAATATATTATTTTACTACCAAATGACGTGCGTGAAAACATTTTTCAAAATGTCACTTTCCCCCTCCTATAAGTATATATATATTTTAGTTTCCCATTCACAAATCTTCTGTTTCGTTATTGAATCAGAAAATAAAATTTTAATTGTCTTTTATTGCAACCAAAAAAAAAAACAAAAATATTAAAACTTTTTCGTTTCATTCACGAAAACGAATCAAAATTGTAAATTAAAATTATATAAACATAATTTTGTTTTGTTTCGAAATATCAAAATAAAATTCGACTTCCGTGAAGGTCCAATATACCAATAATATATGTATAAGAAAACAAATAATCGACGGATACAATAAAATATACAAAAATGTTAATGAATATAAACATTTTGTATAAAAATAAGATATCAAATTTAAAAAAATAATTTCGAAAAATATGGTCGTATATAGACGTTTTTTATAGATCCAAATCATGATCTATATGATCTAGATCACTAATGCGATTTAGTTCTTTTTCCAAATCCAACAGATTCGAAATTTCAAATTTTGCAATAACGAGAAATTGTGAGAAATTAAAATAAAATACAATAACACTCTTATTTTTTTATACCAAAAAGTTGTCAAAATAATTGGGACGCATGATTATGTTCTAAAAATCATTAGTCATACTTTACATTTTATCGAATTTTATTTGTCCTAATTAGTTTTGAGCCGAATTTTTATTTGTTCGAAACAGCATTTGGCATAATTTACATCAAAGCGATTATTTATTTGTCAGAATTTTTATTTGCTCGTATTTTCATTTAACATAATAGGCATTTTAAAGAATTTTTATTGGGTAGAATTTCATTGAATAGAATTTTCATTCAGATGAATTTTCATTTGTTCGAATTATTATTATTTGATATAATTTCTATATAATCGATTTTTCATACTACAGAATTTTTACTTAACCGACAAATCATTTAATAGAATTTCTAATTGATAGAATTTTCAGTTGTCCGAATTTTCAAATGGCCGAACAAACAATCGACAGAAAGATTTTGGCGCGATTTTTAAAATCAACCAATCAAAAATTATTCATAAAATTGTGATTGGTTGATTTTAAAAATCGCGCTGAAATCTTTCTGTCGATTGTTTGTTCGGCCATTTGAAAATTCGGACAACTGAAAATTCTATCAATTAGAAATTCTATTAAATGATTTGTCGGTTAAGTAAAAATTCTGTAGTATGAAAATTCGATTATATGGAAATTATATCAAATAATAATTCGAAAAAATGAAAATTCATCTGAATGAAAATTCTATTCAATGAAATTCTACCCAATAAAAATTCTTTAAAATGCCTATTATGTTAAATGAAAATTCGAGCAAATAAAAATTCTGACAAATAAAAAATCGCTTTGATGTAAATTATGCCAAATGCTATTTCGAACAAATAAAAATTCGGCTCAAAACTAATTAGGACAAATAAAATTCGATAAAATGTAAAGTATGACTATAATGATTTTTAGAACATAATCATGTGTCCCAAATAATTTCTTTTAGAAACCACTCCTAAACTGTTATTGAATCTCTTAATAAGAATTAATTATTAAAAATTTATTAAATAACAAAAAACAACAAACAGAAAAAAGAATTACTTTCCTAGTTTTTTTTTGTATAAAACTATATAATATTTTCAAAAATTAGTATAACTTCGGCGAGAAAAAAATTTCTGAAGTTATATATCCCATGTAAAAAAAATGACAATTTTTCATTTCTATATAAGAAAAAAAAATGAGACATGACAAAACGAAACGAAACGAGACAAGACAGGGCAAGGCCAATACTGTATGTGCACGTGTGTATGTAGCCGGTGCGCAATGGTCCGTGAAACCTGACTGGCTGACTGCTGGCTTAACTCCTCACACTTGAGAGAGGGATGCAACCATGCCAGAGAGAGCTATGTTAATTAAACGCATTTTCTAGCCCCCACATAGGAAATGAGAAAAATAAAAGGGGCTGAAAAAAAGTGTAAGGGAATGAAGAGAATAGAGGCGGTACATTTAAGAACACACGGGGACAAGAGAAGAAGAAAAAAAAAAGAGACAAACTCAAAGTCTAGTTATAACGTCCCGTTCGACGAACGCACGCCACACGTCCGACAGTTTTTTTTTTTTTTCTTTTTTTCCTTTTTGATGGATGCCAAAAGGCCTCATCATCTGTCCACCAAGAAAAAAAATCTCTTGACAGAAGTGGAGACAATTTCCCACCCACGAATACCCATTTTAAAACAAAAAAATTAGGAAATAGGAAATTTTTTTAATTTTTCAAATTTTTTTCTTTTAGACTTCCAGAGTAATTAAATTTTTAGAATATCCGTATGTAAATGAAAATTTGTCTCAGAAAATATTTGTTTCAAATAAAATTTATTTGTTTCAATATTTTATTTAATGCGGAAATATTTATTTAGCTGAGACAAATATATGACGCGCTTTAAAAAAAGGAATTTTTGTATTACCGGAAAATACATTTTAATTTTTAAGACCGGCGAGAAAATTTTTTTAAATATAATTTATATACAACCAGAGAAAATTTATCTCAGAGCCAAATAAATATTTATTTGAAATAAAAAATTTATTTACACTAAATAAAATATTTCTCTGGATGTAGTATATATTTTTATACCTTTTTAAGATATAATTGCAAATTCTTTTTTAAAAAACACAAAAAATTGTAAGGTAAATAAGATGCTGCGCTATTAACTCAATAGTGAATTAAAATAAGAGCATTTTCTTATTTTTAAATTCTTACAATTTTCATTAGTTATGTAATAAAAAAAAAATTTGTTTGCAAATGCAATATCAAAAAATTAAATATAAAACAATTGAAAATTTAAATACTAAATAAATTTCAAAACCAAAGTGTTAAACTACTACTCACGTTTGAACATTTTCAGACCATCTCGGACAAGTAGAAAACCTGTAATTACGATTCTCTTCATCCGCTTTTTATTTAAATCCCAAATCGAGGAAGTCGTGCCATCTTTATTCTATTCACGAAAGTAGTCCTTGTTCCGTCGGTAAGTTGTTGATCACTTCACTTAAAATATCGATTTATTATTAAAAATATTTATTAAAAAATTATTGTTTACTACTAATTAAAAATATATTCAATTTTTTTTTTTATAATATTCTGATAATTCTTTATAATTAAAAGAAATATTTATTTTCTTTAATTATAAACATTTGTACAAGATTTATAAAAATTTTTTTTTATTCACAATAGACAAATATATATATTTTAAACAAAATTCCTTATAAGATTTTGTTTTTATTTTTTTTTTTTTTTTCTATAAATAAGTCTTGTAAAATTTTTTAAATATCTACCGCTCTTATATCTTCAGCAAGATTATATTCATCTTGTATTTCTGATTTAAAAAGAATATTTTGATAGAAATCATCAATTCGTTTTTTATCCTTTTGATTTAAATTTTTCCATTCCTTTTCTAATTCTTCAAGTAAAATTTCTCTTGATTGAGAGGAATCTAATTTATCATCAGTAAGCTCATCTTCATGAATCCATTGTTTCCAAAGAATTTTTGCATCTTCACTGAAAAGAAAATGTTAAAAATTAAATTTAAATTCTATTTAAAAATAATTATTTAATATAAATACAAATATACTTACTCATAAACACTTGAATTTTTACATATTTTTTCTCTCTCAGAGATAATTGTTGATTTTTCAGTAATTTTATGTCTTTCATTTTTTTTAGTATTTCTATCCATATGTGAAAATAAAGTATTATACATATTTTGTTCTCTAATTAATTCCAATTTATTCTTCATTTCTCTGAGTCTCAATGCTTGTGTCCACCATTGCTTTCTACAAGCTTGATACTCTCTTTTTGATAAATTTAAAATTTGTTCTTGTAAATCTTTATTTGCAAGATAACGAAACATTTGCACTGTTAGATTTTTATATTTGGGATTTTCTCTTATCGATAAATTTTCTCTACTATTGTCGAAAAAAATATTTCTATCTTTCATTTGAGAATTTTCTTTAGAGAAAATTATATCTGAATTTTTACTACTTAACTTTGGATTATTTACATAAGTTTGTAATTTTTCTGTTTGATTTTTATCGGAAATTTCCTGAGGACTTGTTATAAATTCCCTTGAACGATTAATATCGTCATAATTATTTATTCTTGTTTCTTCATTTGAAGATAATGGTGTCCTACAATTTGAGGATCTTGTGGACATTGAGCTTTCGTTCGAACTTCGAATATTTGTTTCTTCAAGACTTTTGCAAGAAGGTTTTGTAAAAAATTTTTGAATAGGTTTTTCTATTGTATTATCATATAATGCTTGTTTAATTCCAGAGCCTAAAAGTTGTGATTGATACATAGCTTGATGAGTTTTTATATTTGTAGAATTATCGAATATACTCGAAAGAGATTTCTCTGGAGATTGATTATATTTTTCCTTTGAAGAACCACTATTATCTGAACATGAATCGTTGAAAATAATTTCTGAATTTGATATTTTTTTATTAAATAACGATTGACTAGGTGATCTAGTATTATAAAAGTAGGATTGAAATCGACGACAATCTTTAGGTAAATACAAACTTTGTTCAGCTTTTTTTTCCTTTAATTTATGTTCAAGAGCTTTAATAGAATAGTCTTGTTGTTGATTTTTCTGTGATTTTAATTCCAATAATTCTTTTTCATATTGTTCTTGTTCTTTTTGAAATATTGATTTTAGTTGTAATTGACGTTGACTTAATTGTTGAGCTTTTAATGATTTTTCAAGACAAGGTGATATTTCATTGGAGCACCAAGAATTGAACTGTTTGTTATTTTCATTTTCACGGGCAAAAAATTTAACTGTTTCCTTGTAATAATTATGTTTGAGATTTGCCTCATGTCGTTTTTGAGCTGCCAACTGATACTGCTTCTCCTGCAGGCCTCTCACCCTTTAACAAAAAAAAAAAAAAATTAAAATTAAATAACAAATGGAAAAAAATATTTGTTTACATTAAATATATTTAACATTAGTAATTTTATTCTAAATTTATCATTGCAGTTATACGATTCAGTTATTTATTATTCTTGTTTTTATCTAACAATGGTATTTTTATGTATACGCAATCAAACCAATCGGAAGCAAAAGGATAAACCGTGCATTTATATACTCTATACAGCAGTTGAAATCCGTCCTAGAAGATTCGAATCTATTTTCATCCTCTCGACTTGTGTGACGTCACAAGTCAAAAATATCAACTTTTGAGAGGGAGGCGTTCAAAACATTTCTCTACAATTCGATATTTCCCTGAGTCGAGAAAACCTTTAAACTTTCAAAGTCAACTATAGAAACTTCTCTCTCATTAAATATCACTTCATATATTCCAAAGAGGAAAAGAAAAGCGCATCTTTATAATTTGAAAATAAAATTTATGATAGTGTGTGGCTATTTTTTTTTTTTTTAAATATATTTTTGCAAATTTATGGAAAATTGTTTGAAAACTAGGTCATATTTCACCCACGCAAAAGTTCCCCACCTACAAATTTCGCGACAAAATTGTGTCCAGGAGTTGAACAGTAACGCATCATCTTTCTTTGCAACGTGATCTTGAGATCCTCTATACAACGTGATCCTTGATCGATCGATTAATCGATCGATAAAGGTACGATGTTTTGAGTGTTTTTTTTTTGACTTTGTCATTCACTTTTCAAAGTGTCAATAAGAATATATTAAAATTTTTCCAGTGTCCAAAAAGTAGATTCAGAGTGTTTATAATTTTTTTTTTATAGTAAAATTGAATCCTGAAAAAAATTAAGAAAAAAAATTTTAATTTTGTATTTTTTTAATAATAATTGAAATTTTTTTAAAAGAAAAATTAATTTTTCACAGATATTACAGAGAAATAGATAATTTAAAACAAGAGAAAAATTGGTGACAGTTGGAAAAAAAAAGAAAAAATGCCGGGTGCAGGAGGTCAGTCGACTCCAAGGACGACCTTCAGACCACCCTGGGTCAAAGATGGACCAAATCCTTTACCAATGCCTACAGCCCCCTGGACTTTAAACAGACGTGATTCAAATCAAAAAACCGACGATGCACCAGCTTTTACGAAAGTCACTCTCAAGGTAAAATTTCTATATATTTTTTTTAACCATTTTATTGTTATAACAATTAAAAAATTTTAAAAACAAAATCAAATTTATTCTGTTCTATATTAATTGTTTCTTCATGATGTTTATTAAAAATGTAATAATATATAAATTGAGATGACTAATTAGCATATCGTTTAAGTTCTATATCGCATACATTTTGCATTTATATCAAAACTTTCTAAAACTGATAAACGTACTAAGAAACATGACATCTATAATTTCAAATGCTTAATTAAATTAATATGGAGGAGTAAACTTTGTTGATATAGAGGGGTTGAATCGGAAGGCGAGAAAATCCATTTCAGCGAAAACTCTCCTAATTATATATATATACTTCAATTAAATCGCGCGTACGTAAAATTAAGAATATAATTATTTCAAAATTATTTATATTTCCTTATCAATATTATCAGCAATTTAATGTAATTTTCAAAAATAAATTGATAAAATTTCTTAAAATTTCCACTAATTTTTTTTTTTTTAATCGGGAAATTTCAATTAATTTACACAATTCAAGATATTTATTTTCTCTGCTCTCGCAACGCAACTATTACTGCGTGGGCACTTTGCCACGGTAAGATTATTCGCGAATTCTGAAAACTAAAAGAGAACGAGATTATTCAAATTTTGAAAATATTTATATTTGCTCCAAGAACTTTACACGTGTGAATAAAAATTAAACTATTTTTACAGCAAATTGTTTCATCATTTCAAATATAATTTATGGATGTAATAATTTGTTTATAATTGAGTAATTTAAAATTTAATTTTAAATATTTTACTTTCTTTAATTTTAAATAAAAATCTACTCTAATAATAATAAATAAATATATTATTAATGAAATTAAAAAATTAATTTTTCAAATTAATTCTTTGAGAGGATATAAATATAAATCTCAAATTAGGAATTAAAAGCTTATTTTTTTTTTTTTTTGAAAAACAGCTGCTCAGAGATATTAATTGCGACGCTTTAAAACTTTTAACACTATACGAGATCATTGACGCAATGTGTGAGAGAAAGAGATGAGTTTCAAATCTAAAGGCGTGTAAAGCTGCCTCTGGGTCATGTGGTTATTTAAAGACATGCATCTATTTCAAATGTGCGACCAAGCCAAATGCATCTTCCGTAAATGTTATTAAGCATTTGTTTCATTATTTAAATAATTATTTTCCATTTAATCGTTATAACAGAAAATATTTAAATTTTTGACAATTCTCATTTGAAGATTACTTTTCATTTTTCGAATATTAGAAGAAATATACCCTTCCCCTTCTCTTTTTTACATCTCTACTTCTATCAAGCTCAAAATCTTTCAGCTTTTCACATCAGTTGCAGTGTATGTGTCAATATAAATACAATATAACAACAACAACAAAATTTGCAAAAAAAATAGCGAGTATTTTTCAAAATAAACTGATTTCCAAATTGTTAAATATAAATGAAAATTATTAGATTAATTATTTAAGAAAAAAAATTTTTTTGTAATTGAAAAAACTGATTTGTCTATTGAAAAAAAAAAGTGATTAAAATATTTCGATTTATTCTAGAGTGTATCGAAACCTGAAGAAGCAAAACCACCTGCTGATCAGCCACGTAAACAAAGTAAAATTACAATCATCCCTTCGCAAGTGAATAGTAGCGATAATAAAAAGAATACAGGTCAACCCCCAGCACTGTCAAAAGCGAGGGAAAATGGACGACCTGAACCAGCCTCAAGACCACAACTTGAACGACAAGTTCGTGTCGATAGATCACGATCACGCGGCGACGTTTTGCCAATTTCCAAAAGTGAAAGCACAACTGGTAAGAAAAAAATTATATTATTAAAACAATTTTTATAAACAATAATAATGAGAATTAATTTTTAAAATATATTTTACAATTTTACACTTTTTTTTGGTTTGTTGCCTTTTTTAATTGTAAATTGATAATTTTTCTTTAAAACTGCCAGTAAATGCAAAAAATTAAAAATATTTACAATATAGAGAAAATGATTTCAAAATTAGAAAAATGAAATTTATTGTAATATTAAGTCTTAAATTGTTATGCAATAGTACAAAGTGATCAAAATTGAATATAATTTTCTATCAAAATTAATTTCATGATTATTTTAAAAATACAGTTTTGAATTTTTTTTGTTAATACAATATTTTTCTAAATTCGAAAGTTCCTGAATTTATTAATAAATAAATCATGACGCAGCTAATTGTTTTTTTTTGTTTTTTGCTCTTTTCAAAAAATATATTTCTTTTTTTCGTATTTTACAAATAGGTGCACCCACGTTATCAAAGAGTTCATCCAGAGCAGCCATTCCACCTCCACCGCCTCCAAGACCACCACCACCACCGCCATCAAGAAATATTTTAAAAGATCTAGCACCATTATCGGAAAAACAACAAAAAACAATAGAAATGTTAAAATCTAGGCCGAGAAAACGACCTGATTGGGCATGTATGATGAAAGAGGTCGAGAGTGGCAAGAAACTAAGACATGTCAAATGTAACGATAGAAGTGCACCATTAATTGAAAGAGTAGATAAAGTTATAACTGATCCCAAAGGTAACAATAAAATTCAAATTAAAAAAAAAATTTTCATTAAAACTATAAAAATGAATAAAAATTTAAAAAAGTAACTCATTGTTACCCAAAATAAATTTCTAAATATATGGTTTTATAATTTAAATTTATACTAGTTTCTATTATAGGTCCAGTGCACTTTATCTATGAATCGGAAAAATCCAATGTACACAATCAGCTACTTCATCAAATTCAAAGGGGCGTAGCATTGAAGAGTGTCAAAACAAATGATCGTTCAAGACCAAATTTAGAAGGTTTAAGAAAATTCCGAAGACAATTGACAATAGAAGAACAAATAAAAAAGGCTGATGAACCAGTAGAAGCAATTTTACCAGATGAAATGGATGATATTGATGCTGTTAGAGATGATCTTCAAAGTACAAAACAAATGCTCGCTCTAGAATTAAGAAATAAAGAAGCTCTTGAAAGAGATAATAAAAGATTACAGGTGAGAATATCGATCTAAAAATATTTTTCTTTAATTTAAAATTATAAATATCATTCTCTCATTTAATAAATATTAAATCAGAGAATGATTTGAATTGAATTTTCAAACTCTCGAAATTCTCTTTTCAGTTAATTATAACATTTTTGACATACTATTAAAAATATATCATATCAAGATGCTATTTTGAAAATATTAAAATCATTGATTTGTTATAATTATTTTACTTTAGCACATCCCATTTTTAATAATTTTATAATTTTAAATCATTTTTACATATATAAATATTTATAAAAAAAATATATATTTATATAGTATAATTTATAAAAAATATTCACAAATATAAACTAACAAAATTTAATTAAAATTTTTAATTAGCAATTATGTTTGCTTTGTTTAATCATATTCATCATACTTTTAAAGATTAAAAAAAAAACACATCTCATGCTATTATGTTGGAGCTACTCTACTTCGCTGGTTGCCTTTTGATATAGAGTCTTTCTTAAAAATGAATCAGGCAAGGTAAATTTTTGTTCAGTGAAATAAATAATGGGATGAAGCTATTAGGTTTATTTAGAGAGAGAATTCGTTCATGATATTTCAGAAAACTAATTTGACACCTGAAACTTCGAAGCTACAATCACTTCAATTTAAACTACAGGCAAGAATTCTCAATCTCGAAGCGGAACTGGAACATGAAAAATCACAAAAAAGTATTCAAGAATATAAAAAACAGGATACAAAATTATCAGAATCTTTAAAAAAGGAAGCTGAACAGGCGAGAAAAGATGCTGAAAGATTGGAAAAAGATTATGCAACTGTTTCTGAAGAAAGAGATAAAACTAAAAATGAATTAGAAGACATGAAGAGAATGTATGCTACTTTAGAAAGACGCATGAAAGCCGGTAATTTGTTATATAAAAATTTTACTGCTTTAATATTTATGCGCTTTTTTTTGTTTTTATACACGGAAAAAACAAACTAACTATTTTAGCACCAAACTGCTTTATCCTTTATTAGTATGCAATTTCGTTTACCTATTAAAGTATGAAATAATGCTTTTTTAGTTTAAAGTAAGTCCATACTAAATAAGTATAATGGTTATACTCTTTTAGTAATAGTGACGTACTTTAAAAGCATAAAGTTGATGCCCGCGAAGTACGACATACAGTCTACCTAAAATAGCAAGAGCTTCTTCCTTTTTGGTGTATAAATTCTTGCAACCTGCGTTTTGGCCTATATCGATATATCAATGGTTGGAAGGAGAAGGAGGCGTGGCCAAAACGCAGGTTGCAAGAATTTATACACCAAAAAGGAAGAAGCTCTTGCTATTTTAGGTAGACTATATGTCGTACTTCGCGGGCATCAACTTTATGCTTTTAAAGTACGTCACTATTACTAAAAGAGTATAACCATTATACTTATTTAGCATGGACTTACTTTAAACTAAAAAAGCATTATTTCATACTTTAATAGGTAAACGAAATTGCATACTAATAAAGGATAAAGCAGTTTGGTGCTAAAATAGTTAGTTTGTTTTTTCCGTGTAGAGAATGAAACTAAAACTTTATTTTCTTTTTTTAAATGCATATTAACAATTCTAATGCTTTGCTTATTTTGCGCTTTTTCTTTTTTACATTTATTTTAGAATATTGCGAAGAAAACAATGAGGCTTATGATGCAATAATAGAATTAGCAGATGATAGCGAAGAATCGTTTTGGTACGGATTTTCAGGAATGGCATTGGCTGGTTGTCCAAGTGCAAAGGATGTTGCGAGGATTGCTTCACAAAAAAGTATAGACAAATCAAATAAATCAAATGCCAGTGAAAGTGAAGAAGAAACCGAAGAAGAATCAGAAGAAGAAGAAAGTTCTGAAGAAGAATCAGATGAAGAAGAAGATCCAAAGGCAGCAGAAGAAAAACGACTTCAACGAGAATTAAAACTTCTACAAACAAAAATTAAAAGTTTCAAGTGAGATTTCTTTATCTAATTTTAATTATAACGTATTTGATATTTTTTTTCAGTTTATAATTAAACATTTCTAATATTGACAGAGACAAATCCGATAATGCAAGAAAAGAAAGGCACGCACTTAGAGAACAAATTAAACAACAAAATAAATTGCTCAAAGAAGAGAAAAAGAAATTCAAACGTTTACAAAAAGAAGTAGACAAAATGGCAAAATTAATGGGTGATGCTGAAGATGAGGAACACGAGGATGAAGAAGAAGAAGAAGAAGAAGAGGAGGAGGAAACTGAATCAGAAGACGAGTCTGAATCTGAAGAATCTGAGGAAGATGAAGCTGACGATGCAAATGCACCTTTAGCAAAGCAAAAGAATAATTTACAGGTAAGTAGAATTTTTAATTTCAAAAATTATAGACGTTGTTTCTTGGAAAATTAAATTAATTTGTTTGACAAAAATAGCGTATACATTTTGCAAAACTAAAATTTATTTCAGCTTCAAACGAAAAGGTACGAGGGACGTTTGGCAGCTCTTAAAAAAGGCAATTACCTCCTAAAAGCTCAAGTTGATCGTCTAAAAGACGATTTAGCAAAACAACGCGAGGAAAGCCTTTCTTTACAAGAAGATCTGGACTCTGTATTAGCTGAACTAGGTTAGAGTGTCAATTTCTTACTATTTTTTCTATATAAGTTACATTCAAAGTGCCTTTCAATATCCTAAACATTCTTTTTTTTATATAAAAAAAAATTATTTCATGTTGCAAATAAATTTTTAAAAAAATGGTTCAATATCAAAACATAATCACAAACTAAAAATACATTTCTATTACAAAGAAAACGAACGTATTTTAATATATACTAAATATTAATTTATTCTGTACAGAAAAAAGTTTTTAGTTTGGGGTTATGTCTGGTATTGAATTTTTTTATCTATTAATTGGTTATATATTGGTTATAACAATATATTGGTAACATATATTGCTTGATTATTTTAATATATCAAAAATAATAATGGCAGTTTGGAGGTGATTCAATTTGAATGAATCTATAGTTATATATATATAATTAACATGTGTTTAAGAAATGCTACTGTATATTGGTTTTGTTATTGAATTGTAAAATATTTTTTAATAAAGGCAATTTCTGGCTAATTGTCTAAAATTAAGTTGTAGATTATTTTAAATTTTAGGTTACATTATATTTAAACAAATTGAAACAATACTTACATATTTCTTAATCTTCTTTTATACAATTATGGTGAATAACTTTTAACAATGTAATAATTCTTGTAATCTATTGAGCATGACACATTTGAACAAATTAACATTCAATATTTCAATTGTATATTCCTATTTGTTCCTTTGTTGATTATATGCACTTTTTTAAAACAGATAAACAAATATTTACAGTAGTTTTTAATTATATGTTTTGGCAGTTAGCGCTTGTCAAATGTGTTTCCATGGGAACGAATATGCGTATGAGCTTTGTTTACAGTTTACGTAGATTTACGTTCTTACGGCAAGTAAACAGAGAAACCCATGCGTCTGACAAGGACACAACTGACCAGCTTATTGTAAAAGTACCTTAAAACATAAAGCTCGTATCACATTTAAAATGTCCGAAATGTATACATATATATATATGTATAACGCATGCTCATTGTCTGTATAAAAAAGTTAGGTTATATTTACAAACAATTCCATCATTACTATATCAAAGTAATTTTATTTAAATATATATAATATTTGAAATAGTTTGAATGAATTTATTCATTAAAATATTATGATGAAAGTTTGCATTTACTGCAACATAAAATCTCCTGATGGTGATATTACATTTCATAAGTAAGTTTTGAATAAAAATACTTTTTGTTTATTTAATTTATCAATTTACTTTTAATATTAATTCTATTTTATTTTAAGAATTCCAAGTGATAAAGAACGTCGACAAAAATGGTTGAATGCAATTAAACTTCCAGAAGAAAGAATTGACAAAAACAGTTATTTATGTAGTAAACACTTTGAAGGAAGTACCTTTTGTTGTCAAATTGTAAATAAAAAAGTACACAGATTTTTACACTTAGACGCTGTACCCAGTATTTTTACAGAAAATCACAGGTAAATGTTTTTTTAAAAATAAAATTCTAATTTATATATTTTTCATCATATAATAATAATAATAATGTAAAATACTGTAACAATTTCTTGCTAATAGTACAGAAGAAAATAAAAATAGTTCAAAACTATTGTTTACGGAATATAATGAAAATGAAGAAAATGATGACGAAGAAGAGTAAGTTAAAATTGCATTTAAATATCTTACTATCGCTTTCTATTTATATTAATATTATATAAATTATTTTTTACAGTTGTTATTTTTACAAAATTGAAAATGGAATCATTAAAAGATATTTGCAAAATAATTTAGAAACTACAGACTTTTCATCAACGAGGTAAGATTTTTAATATTATAAATATATTTTGTATATTAAAAGTATGTAATGTAAATTTTCTATTTAATAATTTTATATTTTTAATGTGTAACAGTCAAGAAAATTTGTCTCAATCAAATGAAAATTTGAACAATGAGAGTATAAAATCAAAAAATTTATCATTTATAAAAAACTCTCAAGACGCTGCATGTTTCAAAGAAGTTAATATTCAAGTACCTGTTAAGGTTGAAGTTTTACCTAATTTTCAATTACCTATTCAAATTCGGTACGTAAATACAATTTTTTAAAGGACATTTACAAGAAACAAAAACAAAAAATTAATGTTATTTCAGAAATTCAAAAAATTACTCAGGAGACAATATTTGTGACTTGAAATTTAATGAGTTTAACAATCATAACGGTTCAGATTTTATTTATGAAAATATTGCAATAGATGCTGAAGATATACCTTTCGATCAAATCGAGTTTTCCAATGTGTAAGTTACTTTTCAATTTTCAAAAACTCATGTAATAAAAATATTCAAAGTAACTTTTTTTTTTACAGAAATAGTGTAAATGAAGTGGAAGTAACTACTTGTGAATCGGAATCTTTAAAAATTAATGATCTAGAGAATGTAGATATGAAAATGAAGAAAGACAACATTGACAACTTGTACGTAAATTTACTGCTTTATAAAATATTTTTCATATGATATATAAATACATCTGTATTTTTTAATAAATTTCAGATGTAATAGTACTATCGTAAACAATAGTAAAAAAGAAATAAAAAAGAAAAACGATAATATTCCAACAATAGATCACATTGACAAAGAGAATTCTGAAATTGAAGAAAATTGCATAAAAAATTTACTTTACGAATATTTAGAAAAAAATAAAAGTTGTGATATGGTTAAAAGATATACTGAATTAAAATTGACTGAACTCTTCAAAAGGGTCTTAAATTATATTGAATGTCTTGAAGAGAAACTAGAAGCTTCTGATGAAAAAAATGTACGGTATGAAAATCAAATTTTAAAATTAGAGAAGTTATTACAATCACATAATATTGATACAGAAAAAATTAATTTCATTTAGCATTTATTTTCAATTTATTATAGTCTATTTAAATTATTTTGTTTTGTTAAAATTGTTTAATTTTTATATCAATGCTTTTTAAAATAATACTGAAGTTTTTAGAATAAATTGTACATAAAGAAAGATTTTTAACAAATAATTGTATTTAATAATTTTGTATGTATATCTATATAGTATGATTTTTATTGAAACATTAACAACAAAATTAAAAATATGTTAATAATATTATTGAATTACATTAACTAAATTTTAATTTTAAATTAATAATGATAGAAAGAAAAATAATTACTTTATTTACATTAATACTATATTCACCTGAATGCACATAATTTTCACTTTTAAAATTATCATCAAAATTCATATCATCTAAAGGAATATTATGACAAACTATTCTATCTTCTAGAGGTTGAACTGGTCGAAAATTATGTGTTAATTTTTGTCCTGCAGTATTTCTGACCCTTCGGAAATGTTCAATCTAAAAATCAATAATAGATCATTGCACAATTTTTTTTTGCATCAATTTTGCAGGTGAGTGTTACAAAAAAGCAATTAAATTATATACTTGATTATGAGATAATTGAAGCGGTTCTTTGAAATCAATCCACGTGACAACTTCAGCACAAGGAGGAGTTGTAAGTGATCCAGTATATGTAAAATAATTTTCTAGATTTACAGTTTTTGGTTGAAGAAATTCACTAAGTTGTAAAGGAGATGTAAATTGACTTTTTGAATCTAAACTTTCTACGTCTGGTAAAATTGAAATAATTTCATCGTATATTAAATTTGGTTTTTTGTCAACCTGAAAGCAAATTCATAACAAAATAATTATTAAAAATTATTTATTATAATATTTATTAAATATCATTTTCTTAATAAATATTATTTAAATAAATATTTACCTCAAAGAAGTAAGCAAGCACTGTAACTCCATCACTGTGATGTACAGCTTCTGTCATTGATTTATATTGTTCTTTAAAAAAAACTGCATGAAGTTCCATAGCAAAAGAATGATTATTTATTAAATCTTCAGAACCCTCTGTATCTTTTTCTCCCCAATGAAAATGCATTTGCTCAAAAATATAAGTGTCATTAAGCGGTCCTCCAAAAACACGTGCCGGAATATTTTCGTCCATTACCACCATAACTAAAATAGAAAATTAAATTTATTATTTAATATTTTGAAATAATTTTTTTGTAAATAGAAAATTAATCAAAAATTTAAACCAGTATGTCCGTTGTTTGTTATCTCTGCCATACGTGGATTATGGAGTCCAGAAAATATCAAAGGTGGCAAAGTGATATTTCTTACTTGATGTTCTTCTATATTGATTGGAGATTGATGCTTTCCAACACATGTCGTAAAATCCTTACCCCAATATGAAGGACCTTTATTATGTATTTATTAATTTATTAGGAAAAATTTATTTTTTTTTTATTTTTTAGACACGGTATTCTTACCATTTATTCCAGAATATCCAAAATCCCGATGACTGTCAGTAATATCTAAAAAAAAAATTATGTATTACATATACCTAATATTGGTGATTTACTAGAAAATAAAAATGATAGACTATAACCTTGAATTAATGATTATATAACAATGACAATATCAAGATAAATAATCAATGGGAATCTATACTCATCAAACTTAATTTAAGACAAATTATTTTTTCAAAAATAAAAATTTACAGTTCTTTTAATTTTTCTTTCTTGTAATTATATCAATAATTATGGGTACATAAACAAAAATCAAAAATTGTAATATTTTACCAAATATAAATAATAATAATAATAAAATGACGCAAAAAGAAGAAGCATATTGATATATATGTTAGATTATCGCGCATCTGTTAATTGTACTATTAGTTTTCTTTTTTCCAATAACTTGTCACATTTTAAACTTGAAGAAGGTCAATATCATTTTTACTACAATTCATGTATTTTTTTTTCAATGAAATAGAAATTATAACTTTATATTTATTGATTTTTTTAAAATTATTAAGAATATTTTTAATTCTTAATCAAAAATTTATAAATGTAAAGAGAATATTTTTAATTATGTATACAGTTTATGTAGTCGATATGTTACAATTTACGAGTTTAAAAATTAAATTTGATAAATATTTACACTTTATTAGCAATTAAAAATTAAGTATACTCTTCACATGTAATTATGAAAAGTCTCCTTGTAAAATTAAATCTCTTTCATATACATTCCATATTCAAAACATTAAATGATTAATATTTGTTATATGTAATACAATGTTTTCTTTGATTATTATTGATAGATTTAAAAAAAGAAGAAATAACCAAATTAAAATCTCGATTATCGGGGCAAAAAAAAGAAATATTTTTTAATTATATACCTACCTGTAGTTTAATTTAGTTACATAAATAACTAAATAAATTAAAATTAGTTGTTTATGTAACTAATTTAATAACAAAATAATAAATTAAAATTTGTTATTTATGTAACTAATTTAAACTATAGATACTTACATAATAAAAAAAATTTTTTTTCACATCATCGACAATCTATACTATAATTTTTGTGAGATTTTAATTTGTTATTCTTTTTTAAATAAATTGTCCTGGTGATTATAGTAAAACGAGCTATTGAAATGTTACAAAAACTTAATTTTTTTTGTGCTAATCAATTACTCCATTTTCCAATAATCATTGCAACCTTTATGTAAAATTCATGAAACTACTATAGGTGAATTAATCCAGTCACTTGGACTCGTAATAATTTTTTCTTTAAATAAAAAAAGATTTTTTTATTTTTATTCTAATGAATTCTTTCTTTTGAAGAAATTTTCCACAAAACAGTTAAACGTAAAAAAAAAATCACTAAAAGAACACAACTGTTTTTAAAAGAATTATTTCTTTAATTTAAAGAAGAAATCCAATTTTAAAAAATAAAATCAAATAAATTATATTGAAACTATTACATATTATAAAATTAAAAAATATACATTGTAAAAGGAAACGTGAATTTTGACAGGTCCTTGAGTCTAATTCGACTTGCCGTACTTAATTTAATATGTACAAAAAATTCTGTCCATGAAGGTTTAAAAGATACGTGAACAGATTACAAAAATTCCATATTATATGCAAATAAGTATATTATTTTCATTAAAACAAAAATATATATTCATATTTAAATATTCTAAAAGAAGACTTATTAAAATTTTTAAATTCTGAATTATAAAATTTAGGTACTATTATTTATATAAATTTTTTTTATAATTGTATACATTCGTCTAAAGAAACATAATTTATTAAATTTCACATAGAACAATATTTTGCTATAAGTCAACTTCTTCCCATTGGCAAATATTTCAAACAAACTTTGAAAAAAAAAAAAATTGAAAATATTTTTGCTAAGATGTACTTTGTAGATAATAATTCCAATTAAGTATAGAATTTTTAATGAAATTCGCGTGTTATAGTATGTTCCAAGAATTTACAAGCATACAAGAGTTAATATCCACAACGTGCTGAGTTTCACTTTCTTACGACATTAATTATTTAATAAAGCGATCTTAAAATTGAATTACTAGTTTTTAAAAAATTTAATTATTTAATTTTTATTTTAACAAAAATTATATTTTAAGAAATAAATACTCCATAATATTATCTCAATATATTGCCGTATAATATTCCTGAATATTGGGTGCAAAAAAATTGTACTTTGAAGAAAAATGATTTTATTAAACGTAAGAAGATTTGATGATTTAAAAAAAAAGTACTTTAAATCTATTTCTCTTAATAAAAAAATGCAATTTTCTAATTGATAATTCTAATTTAATCTGAAAGAATTTTTTTTTGTATAGAGAAAAATTTGATGAAAACATCAAAAAAAAAAAAAAAAATTATTAAATTATTTTATAAATTTTACGCATACATTATTAATGATTGTATTTTAATATTAATTTTATTATTTAGAAATATTTTCTGGACAATAAAAATTTCTTTTCAATTGACTTACGAATAACTGTAACAGCCAGGAAAAAGAGAGCTGAAGAAATCATTATAAAGACCAGCACTGACCATAGATAGAGAGTGACTGAACTATCGTCGTTCTTGTATAGAATATAATAACAGAAAACTCTGACGGTTGACTATATTCAATATCTATGTCAGTTATCACAGCATCTATTTTATATAACAGTTACAAATATATTAAAAAATTTTTTATATTTATCTTATAATAAATATATTTATATATTTTTTTTTATTGAAGATAAGAAAAGAAGAGAAAGTAAGAAAATCTTTATACTTACTTTGTTAATTTATTCTTAAAATTTTGATAAATTTTTGTTTAATAATAACAAAAAGTGTGATATTTATAATTTCAATTATTGCTAAAAGCAAGATAATAAGATATATAATTTACATTGTCAACATGATATTGCCAGGGTATTGTAAAAAGGAAAACAAATTTTTACTGTGGGAAATCATGCCACATTAAATTTGACGTGATTATCAGATGGAATAATACGTAACAGTTTCCGGTTTTTTATTTTACTGTTTATAACCTTCTTGGATTAAAGGATAAAGCCTTTTAAAACATTATACCTTTACTGTAATTGTAAATTACATAGAATTTTGTCCTTAATATAAACTGAATTAACTTTTATACAAATTTTTAAAAAAGCTAGACGGAAAAAATAAATTCATAGTAAATTTTGTAAATTACTGATTTCTTTTAAAAATTTAAATTTCGTACTCAATATATTATATATAAATATACAAAGCAGATTTATATAAAATTAAAATAATAATACATTTTTTTAAGTATTTTTAAATTTATTTTTACTGTTCTACAATAGATTAGAAATTATTACAGTTGTAACATTAATATACATGTGTATGAATATATAGACTATCCCAATAGGTTTGGACACGTACAAATATTTCAAAAAAAGAAAAGTCATAGAAGACCTTTTATTGTAGAACTTTTTATGCTGAGTAATTTTTGAACCATTTTGAAGAATTTGATTTTTGAGACACCCCTGTATCTATTAACGTTTCTTAAAAATTAAATATAGTAAAATTTGAATTTGAATAAATATTTAATAAACTATCAAATGTTATGAAGGAGCAAAAACAATGAAAAAAAAAAACATTTTAATGATTAAATAGGTGTAACGGCTGGTGTTTTTGTTTGCTCAATAGGGACAATTTTTTCTCCTGGTGCTGGTAAAGCTAGTTTTGATGCTGTGATTGTAAGAATTCCATCAGAAGAAAGAGCAGACTGAACACTTCCAATATCATAACCCGCTGGAAGAACATAACGTCTCATAAATTGCCTAGAAACAATCCCATGCTCATCTTTTTTTTCATTGTGTTTTCCTTCAACGATAATGACATTGTTATCAACAGTCTTTACTGTAATTTCATTTGGTGCAAATTGTTGAACATCAAGAATCACCTAAATAAAATAATAAATTAATATTAATAAATAGAAAAATTTAAATTCTATTATTTCTTGTATATCATTTCAATGTAAATTGTATTTGTAAAATGATCATTAAAAAAATTGCGTAAATCGTTAAACATTTTCATCACTAGAATTTTGCATTATTTTATTTGGTTAAATATATTGTGTATATAAAAAATAAATTTGATAAAAAATTTAATATTTTAAAAATATCATTTACCTGAAATTTATCTTTATCATTTTGAATTTTAGCAGTTCCTCCGGTTTGATTTACAAGATTTCGCCACGGTCGAAAATATCCTCTAAATGATGGAAAACTTAAAGTGTTTAAAAGTTCATCTCGATTTAATCCTAAACCAAAATGTTGATCTAAAAGCGATGATGGTCGCTCAAAATCTTCCCACCAATCTCGAAAAAGAGTTGGAACTAGAGCCATAATGCTTAATACACAAACTTCTTTGATTAAAAACTGCGTTCTGATGCCGGCCGCAACAACCATGCGCTTTTATATTTATACTCGCAGAATTCGAGACTCTTCGGTTTTATTTTCATACACACACACTCACTCCCAATTCAGAATAATCTATTTATTTGTCACGCACTTCTTTTATTATAAACAAATATTTTATTCCTAAAATTTATATTTTCCTAATTTTTCTTTAAATAAATAAGTTTGGTTTTCCTTCTAATTTCATAAATAATTGTCATGGACAATTTAAAAAATTTACAAATAACGTTGTAATACGTTTAGTGCCTCCTATATCAAAAATGTTTTTTTTCGTTAACGTATAAACTAAATACAATGAATTTTATTCAGACAATATAATATTAAATCATGATTATAAAAAAATGAACACGTAAGTGTTGTGTCAACAAGTTATTAAAATATTTATTAGTTATGCCAAAAAAATTTTAAAAGAATCATTCTTTCTATTTTAAGCTTTTAATATCAATGTTTTCAATTTGTACAGTAGAGTCAGTTAAATTTAGAGTACGCATTCTTTTTGCGATTAACATTTCAGAGCACAAATGTACATTATGTAGTGTAGAAGTAAAGTTTTGAAAATATAAATGAATATATTTGAACAGATAAAATCCTATAAATACATTTATTTAAACATTTTTAAAAAGCTGATTTGTAATTTTTAATTTGCATATAACCTTCAATATTTGCAACATGATTTTGTATGATCTAGTATTATTTAGAGTAAAAAACTAAGACTACTTGAGTTGGAAAATTTTATTCTAAATTTACCTTAATTTGCTGCATTATGAAAGGGTCACCTCAGATTTAAAAAAAAAATCCAAATGTAGGTTAATTAATTTTTTAAAAATTTGCAGTAGCAATTGGTGATTATTTTTTGTTGCGACGAGTATTAACTTACCAAAAATGGAGAAGAAAGTTGACATTAAAAAAATGACACAAATGAAAAATATTAATTAATAACTAAAGGTCACACTTTAACAATAAAAACAAAGACTTATGGTTATGTCAAAAAAAAAACAATATTTGACAGGAGAACTTTCATCAGGGTTGAGACAATATTGTCCAGTTAAGGTAAAACACTCGAAATCTGAAAAAAGGTTTAAATTTTTCTCTTTCCCATCTCTGCATAATCTAAAGCTCACTTTACATTTTAAAATTATTTTTATGAAAATGCACCTTAACAGAAATTTGTCAATGAAAGGTCACGTGACTCATTCTTTCTGCTATTTACACATGCGCAAATGTCAAATCACCCTTAAATTTTTGAGGTTGCTTACAATTAATAAAATGCATGTTTATTATAGATTTTTAAATTATATATTTACAAGTGTCTCAAAAAATGTGTTTAAATAAATTACTTTACAGTGTTTTGTATTAAATTTTATCAATGAAATTTTTTTATTGTAAATTACAATTCAGAAAGAAATTAATGTTTAAAAGTTTATTGCACAATTAATTCAGGTATATATAACCGTAACCCTTGGGGAAAATTGTTTAAAAAAAAAATAATATATAATTTTTGATGTTGAAAATAATCATATTGAGATTTTACGAATGTTGACATTGTTTAAATAATAGTGTTCTGTCAATTTTACAAAGATAACAAAAGATGTTAAATATGATCAAATGCGTTTTATAACGAATAATTAAATATATTTTTGACACTGTGATTTTAGCCGACATTTCTTCTATTCAGTATTATATATTAATCAGTATCAATTCAATAATTTAGATTTACAAAAATTCTTTTTTGATATATGACTTTATTTAAAAATTAAATTAAATAGTTGACAAGTTTCTGTTTTGCTCATTATCTTTGTTGACTTATTGCCCTTAAAAAAAAATTAAATAAATGTTAAATATTTCTGAGAGAAATAATGGACGTGTGGTGGTTTTCTCGAGTAATTACACATCATCCTTATGCTATTTTAATAGCTGTTTTTGTATTTTCCTCAACTTGTTTAATCGTTCCTTTTGCAACAAAAAAATTTCCTGATTTCTCTGACCCACAATTGGTAAGTTACATAAAGAAATAAAAATTATTTTTTCTTTCTATTTATAATATTTTTTTATTTTACAGGGTTTTGAAGCTAGAGGTACAATACTTGCTCAAAGATTAACAGCATGGGGAAATTTAATGGATGCGACTCATCCACGAGGAGAACTTGTCGACAATCCTTTAGAGTATTATTATTATTTACAATATCACAATCAGCCGGTAAGTGCTTGTTACTAAAACCTTTTTTTTTTTTTTTAAATGAATATAATTGTAATGTTTTCTTGATAGAATGAAACAAGTTCTCAGAGTCGTCCAGCGAAGAATTCGCGAAGAAAAAAAGGAAAGAAAAATAAACAAAAGGGGAAAAATAATGTAAAGCTCAAAAATGAAACAAGGGATGATAGCATCAGTGAAAGTAAAGATAAATGGGAGGAGCTTCGTGAATTGGGAAGTAAGGATCATTTAGACAGTATAGAAGAACATGGAAATCATTTAGAGAACGATGGATTCTTTTGCAATCTTCCCAGTTCAGCTTATTCCCGTGTAGTTTTAAGTTCAGAAAGTGATGACAAGAGTTTATGGTCCATGGAGGGTGTTTTAGCTCAATGTCACATCGACGATGCACTTCGTTCAAATTCCGAATTTCAATCTCTCTGCCAAACACAAACAGAAAATGGTCCTGGATCATCGAAATGTTGTCGAAGTTGGTCACCTGCCAATTTTGTAGCTCTTCTTTCAAATCGAAGTTCTTGCCTTGGTGTCACTGAAAATGATTTGGTACGAGTGGAAAATCTTCTTCAGAGATGTGCCTACTTTTATCAGAATTTACAATTGACACCCGATTGTTCTGAAAATTTAGATTGTCAAAAACGCGTTCCCGTTGAATGTTATGCTCATAATGCTCCTTATCATCTTCTTCATTATCTTCTCGACGTTGATTTCATTCAATTTAATGTAAGTTAAATATAAAAATTTAATTTTATAATGTATATATATATAATGAATTTGAATCTATTTTCAGAAACAAGGTCCAGCGAGTAAATTAAATACAACTCTTCGTTCTGCAATGTTATTTCTACCGATTGCCGCAAGTTCAGCGACTTTGAATTTTTATAAAAATCTCAATTTTGCCGGATTGTCTTATGGAAAATTTCGTGTGGTCGCAATTGATCTTGGACTGAAAAGCACACTTTTTGATCGTCTTCTCGTGTCTGATTCATCTCTTTTATTATCTGGTTTTGCTTTTATTACAGTTTGCATTTGGGTTTATACGACTTCTATTTTTCTCACAATTACAACTATACTTGCTGTTTTATTCAGCCTTGGAATTTCTTATGCAATATACACTCTTGTTTTGAGGATCACTTTCTTTCCTTTTATGAATTTATTGGCGGTCGTTGTTGCTGTTGGTAAGTATAAAATTTATATTAAAATATAATGATTTTTTGTTTATATGTATTTTATAACCCCTTTTTAATATATTGTATATTTTTTACAGGTATCGGAGCCGATGATGCATTTATTTATTGCAAAATTTGGGAATGTAATAAACAACAAAAATTGACAAACGGTGGAATGGAGAGATTGGTCCAGGAAACTATGACTCACGCTCTTCCATCAATGTTCACCACATGTTTAACGACTGCTGTTGCTTTTTTCGCTTCAATTGTCAGTAATGTTACAGCTATAAATTGTTTCAGGTAAAATGAAATATATTTTTTACTTTTAGAAATTGTTTTTGTACATTTTTATGTGGGTAGAAAATTTAATGAATCGGTTATGTAGTTTATTTTCAGGAATGACAGTAGTGGCCAACTTTTTTCTAATGGTCACATGGTTGCCAGCTAGTGTTGTAATAGCGGAAAAATGTCGTCTTTCATTTTTAACACCAGCACATTTTATAGTTAGAAAAATTATCAGACCTTTGAGACTCTTTGTTGATAGAGTTTCGAATGGATATAGCCACTGTCTTGCACAATTTAGTGTTGGCTTACGATGGTTGTGGTTTATGATCCTGGGAGGAATTGCCATTGCGGGAGTTTCAATAATATTTCGATATCCCGGTCTACAGTTACCTGACTCGCCTAATTTTCAATTGTTCGATAGCTCGCATCCTTTCGAGCAATATGAATTGATTTACGCTAAACGATTTTGGTTTGAAAAACTTGAAATGGTGAGTGTTCATTTATTAAAATGTAAAATATTATATATTATGTTATTTATTGTTATTTAGGGTGATGGAGGAGCAGTTCTTCCATTGAGATTTGTTTGGGGTGTAAAACCAATTGACAATGGAAATTATAATGATCCATCGGAAAGAGGAACATTTGTGCATGATGAAAATTTTGATATAACTGATCCAAATTCACAGCAATGGTTACAACAATTTTGTCGAAATCTACGTAATCAACCATTTTATCGAAGTACTTTGGGTCCACTTCTTCCAAATTGTTTTATTGACACATTAAAAAATTGGATGGAACGACGTTGTGAAGATCCGGGTGATTTAAATGCAGATAAAATGCCCTGTTGTGAACGTAGTAAATTTCCCTATAAACCGGAAGTTTTACAAGAATGCGCTGCAAAGGCGAGTGATGAATTGTATAAAACTCCCTCGCATTTATGGACACGAGGTGCTCCCGTAACGGCGGGTTTAAAATTTCTAAGAGAAGAAATTGATCTTTCAATTGTGTCAAATAGCTCAAAAAAACTGCCATTTATTCCAAAAATAAGGGCTTTAGTGGTGGAATATGACAGTACATTTGTTTATAGTCTTTCATTTGCAGATATGAATAGATTTTACAATCAAGTAAGAAATAAATTATTTTATGTAGGGTTATTAATTTTTTAATACTAAATTTTATTGTTTGGAAAATATTTTGTTTTTTTTTAAGGTGGAAACATGGATGCAAGGACAACTTGTGAGCGCGCCACCAGGTATGAAGGGTGGTTGGTTTGTGAGTCGTTTGGAATTTTATGAATTACAAAGAGCATTATACGAAGGCACAATATGGGCAATGATTGTTTCAATGATTCTGGCATTCGCAGTTTTGGCATTTGTGACTTTGAATTTTCTCGTCAGCCTCTATGCAATTATTGCTATTGGCGCTGCTATAGTTGTTACTGTTGCAGCTTTGGTTCTTCTTGGATGGAGACTTAACGTTTTAGAAAGTGTTGCAGTTTCAACGGCTATAGGTTTGTGTACATATAAAATTAAAAGCAAATTAATTGTCATTTAAATTAATTATATTATGATTTAAATTTTTTGCAGGATTGGCGACAGATTTTTCTCTACATTATGGAGTGAGTTACAGAGCTAGCAGTTTGGAGAAGAGTTTAGATCGTGCTACAGCAGCATTGAAACAAATGGGAGGACCGACTATAATGGCAGCGATAACAAGTGGAGCTGCCGGTGCATTAATGTTGCCTTCTCACGTGCTTGCCTACATTCAAATAGGCCTCTTTTTAATATTAGTTATGGGAGTTAGCTGGATTTATGCGACATTTTTTTTGTGTCCTATTCTTGCTATTGCAGGTCCCTCCCCAACTTTCGCTCAGTTTCAATATCCAAGGTGAGAAATTTTTATTTTTTTTATAACATTAATAGTGTATCTTTAAATTAATATTTCCTTTGCAGACTGTGGAGAGCATTGTTCAATATTCATAAAAATAAAAATACGGACACAACGGAAGTGGTGAGGGAAGTCAGTACAAATCGTAGACGATGGAGAGGAAGAGGTATGCTCTCTGAATCGACACTCAGTACATCGAGTACCGTTTGTCAAATTCATTGTGGTGAATTGGAAAATCTTGCTGTTCGTCCACCCTCACCATCCTTGCCTCCATCTCCAACCGTAAATCTACTTCATCTTGAATCCAGTCAAACAAACTTAAAAAATAATCGTCGAAAGCAGAACAATGACCACGAATAATATATATATATATAATATATAAAGTATTTTCCATGTGATGAGAATTTGAGAGAAACTCGTTGATGTCCGTTTAGATTATTTTCTATTTGGAAAAATGAATGGATTATAATATTATAATGTCTCTCAGACCGTAAAGGTTTACGTTTTCGCTATGAACTTTTATGGATATCGTTTAATCGGCCTTTATTGATATTTACTGGGCTTCCTATATATTTTTCAAATGACTGTGTAACTATTGTAAGTACTTAAACGACACAATTCGTCTTCCGACGTCACACATGAATTTCAGTAATTTTTATTTTAGATTCTAATTATTTAAAGCATTTGCAAAGACAATATTTTGAAAAATATATTGTTTCCTGACGAAGGGAAATTAATTTTTCCAAATAGTAAAACTTTTTTTTGACAATTTTTTTATTGGATTTTTTTTTAACCCTTTAACTTTTTGATTTGCAGAAATAATTTTATTTGATAATTTTTGTGTAAAGTTAAATTTTTTGCAAAATCTCCAGTGAATTTCTTATTTTAAAATGATATTTTTCAATTTTCTTTCGAGAAGTATTAATTCTTAAGAAAATAATGAAAAAACAGATATTATTTTATATTTTTGCATACTAGATTTAATGCTCCTTATGACTCTAGTCGAAAATTCTTTTAAGATTTTTTATTTTTATATCATATTCTAGGTACTTATTTATATTTTTCCATTAATTATTAATTTGTAATTTTTTCTAGGTATTTACATTAATTATTTAAATGACGAGAACTTTTCATTGAGTTTTCGAACTTTTTTTTAGTACGTTAATAATAAAGACCGTAATACCTAAAGATTGATCAAAATATAACAAATTTGCAAATCGTCTAATTTAAAAATTAACTCTATATACGATGTTAAATTTAAAATTTATTTTAAAAAAATTTTAAACTTGTTATTTGTTAATATTTTTCAAATGGAAAGTTTTCGATTATTAGAATGACGTAATTGTTTTTTAATTGCCATTTTATTTTTTATTAGTTTTAATTTATTAATTTAATTCTCTAATTGTTGGTTATTATAATTATGAAAATAATTATTAATTACTATTGTGAAAAATGAGCTATTGAAGTGTGATCTCTTAAGAACAGAAATTTATTAATGTTCCAAACTTAATTTTTGATCTCTTTGAAAAATTCTAAAGCACATTCATATAATATAATATAGACTGTATAATTCATAAATATATAAATATAATTCTTATATTCATCGAAAAATGTATAAGAAAATATTATGCAGTTTAACGCGTTTTTACAATGTTGTATGATGATGTTGAAAAAAAAATATTGGAAAACAAACATGAGTAAAAAGGTGCTAAAATGACATTTGTTAATAAACTGATAATAAATATTTGAAACGTGTTATAACATATCATTAAGTTATATATATGTAAATGTATATATATAATTTATTAATATTGTTTCTCACGTTATAATGTCATTTTTTTTCATAATGATCATGTGTGATAAAAGACTTTAATGTGAAATCGAACAAAAGTATTACATTCCTCTATTTTTTAATTTAAAAAAAAAATTCATCAATCTCCAGTCGAGAGTCTTGCTAGTCGAATGACTTTGAAATGTCCAAATGTATTCTTGTGCATTGTACAAATGTTATTATATATTAAGCTAAATTTTGTAAATGTTGAAAAAAAATGTGGCAACTTCTTATAAATATACAAATGCCTACTAATTCTATTGAGAATTTTTTTCATTAAACAAAATAGCGTTTTTTTTATATTGTTTAAACATTTTTTTTCACTTAAAATTATTTATTTTATAGAACAATGATAGAGGAAATGCTTTTTATTTTGAACACTATACAAGTATGTATATGTATATTGCTATGGATACTGAAATCCAAACAGAGTGGAAATGTAGGGAATATTTCTAAGAGTGTTTCTTTTATTATTTTAGATACAATAATTATTTTAGAAAATATTAAAGTAGAAAATAATTATCGATTTTTTAAAAAAAAAATCTTAATATTTATTGTAAATAAGTAAGTAATTTTTTTATACTTGGAATTTTTCTTGTTATTTTAATTAGAAAAAAAAATTTATTTATTTATTTTTCTGTAGTGGAAAGAACAAAACCTGAGTTTCAAAAAAGTCGATGGCTTCAAGCAATTTGGGAACCTGGAACTCGTATTTATTCACTTCCCGGAGGAATTGATATGATTGATATTTCCGGAGAAGGTGACGCGCGACTTATTACAGCAGATTTAGGAAATTCACTTCAGGATACTCCCAGGGTTCGTTTAATTTTATTTATTATATCATATATTTAATTTTTCATAGTTTTTATTTTTAAAAATTAATTAATTTTTATTTTTGCATATTTTAACTTTTTTTTCAACTTTTACTAAATTTAATTTTTAATTTGTTTTCTAGATCCGAGTGTTTAAGGAAGAAACTCAAGTAACTGAACATAATATGATTGATGCTCCTTGTGGAGTTGTGGGTTTTTATTCTGAAAATGGAAATCCTCGTTCTGCTGCAGTTGCTGTTGGTGCAGGTGCCAGTGTTTTTATTTTCAAAAATATGAGACCACATTTTAAATTTTGCCTACCTTATTTAGATGCTCATCCAAAGGAAAGAGAGGTAATTTTTATACTCAAAAATAGAATTAAATTAAATTAGATAATTAATAATAAAAATGTTTTAATTTTCAGATCTGGCACAAGGCTGGATTAGAAGATGAAATAAATGTATTAAATTTAGCGGATGATTTGGAATTACTTCTTAAAGAACTTGGAGCTGGATGTTTGTCTTCTCGAACTTTAAAATTTCTTGCAATGGATAAAAATTTAAGAGCTAGTTTTGCTGAACAATATCGAGTTGTTCCATTAATTAGAATGAATGCAGTCACCACCATTGGCGTTTCTCGGAAAGATTCTTGGGCTGATTATCCTTCAAGTTTCATTCTAGTTGGAACAGAATCTGGAGAAATTTTCATGTTAGATCCAAGGTACGATTCATTTTTAGTTTAAATTGAAAATTGTCAACAAAATTTAAATTAACAATTTTTAAAGTTTATTATGAATAATTTTTTAGAGCATTTTTCATGACTGAGAAAATTACAATTGGCTGGCCACCAGTTTCTACAACTTGCACTGGATTATGGAATGGAGATGGACAAATAATTGTGATTGGACGAGAAGGACAATTGGGCTCAATTAAAAAAGGATGTCTTTTCAAAATGTGGGATATTTTACCAGCTCCAATTGTATCAATTGCTCCTCTCACTTGCGAAGGTGCAGCTGTCGCTTCGATGGACGGAACCTATTACGGATTTTCAAAAACTGTACATAATTGTTCTTTAGTTCAATTTTTTTTAATTTTAATTGTTCTTTATTTTAATTGTCAAAATATTGTTATTCAGGGGATGAGGATGTGGCGAATTAATTTATCAGGAATGCCTTTGGATCTAGTCAGTTTGCCAGTTCAACAAAGTGTCGTTTCCTTATTAGCTGTGAGTGTTGCAAAAATTGGTATCAAAATCTATGACGAGAAGCATCACGTTGATACGATTAAAATGATGGATTCTGTATCAGCAATTAAGGTAATAAAAGATTATTTAATTTTTATTAATGATCTTTCAATATATTTTTTAAAAAATAATTTCAGTATGGACGATTAGGACAAGAAGAGCGAGCAATGTCAATGGTGACAACTGGAGGAGGACTTTGTGTAAAAATTTTAAAACGCACAGCAGATTTTTCCGTTCGTTCATTGACAACTGCAAATTCTAATAGCGAAAGTAATTTTATGATTCCAAAGAAAACAAGACTTTTCGTTGAACAAACATTACGTGAAAGAACAGAAGCGTCGAAAATTCATAAAATATTTCAACAGGGTTTAATTCGATTACGATTAACAGTTGCGAAAAAAGCATTCGATGCTTTATCTAATCAACAAGAATCAATGTATCGTCCAATTTCAATAGAATCTAGTGTTATTGGTTTAGGACCAAGATATAGAATTCGTTCAATTGTCACTAATGTCACTGAGGAAGCATCAGAAACAGATTTATTTTTTGTTTATAAAACAAATAATGTCGATTGTAGACCTCGAGTTTCAAGAGTTCCAATTTTAGCTCCTGGTATTCCAATTACATTTAGTTCGAATGCGACTTTAATTAATTATCAACTTCCCGGAAAAGTAAAACTTCTTTTATGTAAAAAAGATGTTCTTAAACCTTTACAAATTATTAATATTGCGCTTCCAGCTGCTGAGGAGGATATTGATGTATAAAGGTATAAATTTGTATATTTATTTTATAAAAAAATGTTTAAAAAAATAAATTAATTTTAAACATATATCTTAAATATTGCTATTATTCAATTTATAATTCTTTAATTTATATTTTCTCTTATTATTAAATGTTAATTAATAATACATTTTTTCTATTCTCATATTTTGTTTGAAATTCGCGCTACATAGTGATTGCACGCACGCGCAGATAAATAATTCATTTCCGCCAAATCGTCATATCCGGTCGTCTGTCTTTACACGCATTTACAACACGCCATTTCGTTATAAAGAAAAACTTGCAAAATGATGCTCGCGAGTGTTTTATGATTAATTAATTTTTTCAGCTATTTTATTTAGCGATAAAAGTGCATAATAATTGTAATTGTTTAATTTTACTATCAGGAAATTCTAGAAAGTACAAAAAATGGGCGAGGATTACAATGGAGGTAAGTGTCTACTGAAAAGATGTTTTGAAGCGCGTCCATTGTCACAAAATTTTATTAATGAAAAAATTCATACACTTTAATATTTTTTGCACAATAAAATTTATATTTATTAATAAATTTTTCTTGCATTTTTTTAAAAGTAAAATTAATGAAATAAAATTTTTAAGTTTTGTATTTGTTTTTTTATTTTGCACTAGATATATTTTTTCCGGCATTTGTAATATTATTATTATTTTCTAATCATTAGAAAGAGATTATTAGAAATCATTTTTTTAAAGATTTTTTATTTATGCTAAACTATGTTTTGAAACTGTTTTAGTTATTTTGATAATTTCTGGATTTGTTGCTTATATTTGATTGTGTAAAATTTTCTTTTTTTCGATTGCTTAGGTGGTAGTATAATTTTTTTTCAAAGAACTATTATAATTCAGTATATTATTTCAGATCGTGAAAGAGATAATAAAGACAGAGATCGCGATAGGGATCGAGACAGGAGACACAGATCACGAAGCAGAGAACGCAGAAAGCGTTCAAGATCACGTTCCAAAGAGAGAAGAGATCGAAAAAGGAGTAGTTCGCCAAAAAAGAATCGCAGTTCCAGGAGAAGAAAACAATCTCTTTATTGGGATGTGCCACCTCCAGGTTTCGAACATATTACACCTTTACAGGTAAAATAAACTTCGAAATATATTCGATTAATAATTAATTTCATTTTATAATTCTTTATATTTTTATTTGAAAATATTCTATATTTATAATAAATTCTAATGTAATTTTTTGTTTTCAGTACAAAGCAATGCAGGCAGCAGGACAAATTCCAGCCAATATTGTAGCAGATACTCCACAAGCTGCTGTCCCAGTAGTTGGAAGTACAATAACACGTCAAGCAAGACGACTTTACGTCGGAAACATTCCATTTGGTGTGACGGAAGAAGAAATGATGGAATTTTTCAATCAACAAATGCACCTTTCCGGTTTGGCGCAAGCTGCTGGAAATCCAGTTCTTGCATGCCAGATTAATCTTGACAAGAATTTTGCATTCTTAGAAGTATGTATTTTTTTTACAAAAATTCAAAAAAAAAAGTGCTTTTGCTTCTAGAAAAAAAAACAATCTAAAATATTGTATTTGATTTCTTAACCATTTTTTTTCAACTATTTTGTAGTATATAAATTTTATCATGGAATTTAAATTTTTTTTAAAATTTACAGTTTGCTTTTGTTATCCAGTTGTGATTGGTAAATTAATTTGTTTATTTTTATAAATTAAACGTACATGTGAAATTGGAAATTTTTGAAAACAGTATTTTGTAAGTTTTTAAATGTTAAAAAAGAATGCGAAAAATCTGTTCATTTTCTAATTATGTTGAAGAAAAAAATAATGAAAATTTTGTTTTTAGTTTCGTTCTATAGACGAAACGACACAAGCAATGGCCTTCGACGGAATCAACTTCAAGGGTCAGAGCTTAAAAATAAGAAGGCCCCACGATTATCAACCAATGCCAGGAATGACTGACAATCCAAGCATGAACGTTCCAGGTATGATTTACCATTTCATTTCTATTCAATTATTAGTTTTTAATTTTTTATCTTTTGTATAATTGTAATTTAATTTCGTTATTGTTTTTATTTTTCAGATTCACCCCACAAAATCTTCATTGGTGGGTTGCCAAACTACTTGAACGAAGAGCAGGTATGTAGGCAAAAACGCATCGTAGCCTGTTTACAAGGCACATTCTTGAACGCAACTCATGTTCATTGACGCACTTTGTTTATTTTAATGTTTCTCTATCTCAAGTAGCTTAAGAGAAAAGGCGTCAATGATGAGAAAAGTGTTCCTCGATTATTTTCCAAACTGCAATGCTGTAGATCGTTCATTGGACGCAACTGGCATTATCAGTTAATCGCGTAAATTAAATCTTGAATTAGGTACTGAAGTAAAGTTTACCATAATCAAACAAAAAAATTTAATTATTAAATACTCAAAATTTGATTATTTAATAACATTTTTAATTCTCAATTTTGAAAAATTGGTTAAGGTAAAATTTGCTGAAATTTAGCATTTTAGCGGAGACTTCGTCCATCAAGAAGTATTCTCTCGATGTCTTCAGAGGTACGTATTCCATTGGAATTTCAACGTTGGATAGGCTCAAAGTTTAGATTGGAATTCACAAAAAAAAAATCATCAGTCGCTATTCATTTCCAAAACAAAAAAGAAATATCCTCCTTATTCATCAAAAAAAATAATTCAGTGGAACCTTTTCCCTTCTTTTTGTTTTTTCTCAACTCTCCTAAAACTTCGAATTGTCTCAATTCATGGGGCCCCCTCAATTTTTATTCTTATCCTATTTATACTATTATTTTTTGTGAAAATAAATCTTTTGCTGAAAAAATTCCTTCATTTAAAATAGTTTTTAGGTAGATTACACTTTATTGAGATATTGGAAGTTTTCCGATGGTTATTAGAAAAAGTCGGGAAAGGTTCCCTTGGAAAAAAAAAATTCGTGGAAAAGGGAAAATTTTCTAGTTAGAATAGAAAAAAAAAAAAAATTAGAGACGTTGCAGGGTTCGTGAATTTCGTCGTCACAACGAAAATCGATTTTTCTTTTACAGTCTTTTTAGGCTCATCGTGGACCCGGCCGAGGGCGAACGAAGCCTCTTTCTTTATTTTCCTGATAATTTAGGCAATTTATCAAGAAAACGAAAAATCCAGTTCCAAGGGCAAAACGTGGGGTTGTGGGGTTATTTCAGCAAAAGAAAAAGTAAACATCTTAAAGATGATAAATTTTTAGGTCTTCAGTGGACAATGTAATATTTTTACTTTTGTTTTTTTTTTTTTTTTCCTTTTTTTCTAGTGGGATTATTCTCGGGTGGGATTTCAGAGTCAAGAGTGAATCTTCTGTGCATCTATTCTCAGGGCTTTTTTCAGGAATATTCTTTTTTTTCCCCTTGCAGCTTTTTTTCAGGCTTTTTCAGGCTCTACGAGTCTTCGAATCTTTTTCATTAATAAAGTTTACAGGTCACGCGAATGAATTCAACTTTGAATGAATATGATGCTTCTATCGTGGAAAGCAATGAGAGAAAATAAAAAAAAAAAAAAGTGATCAAATTGATGTTGAACATCGGAGAGAAAAAGAAAGAGGAGAAAATTTGTGAGAAACGCCAAGTTTTTTTTTCAATACAAAAAAAATGTCTCTTATTTTTTGGCAAGATACAAAAAAAAAGGAATGTGAAAGAGAAAATTCGTATGGTATGAAAAAGTTAAATTGTGGACTGATATCAGTGCCCTTTCTCCCCATTTTCTTAGCTTAGGGTCGCGCCGATCAAAAGCATTCGCTTACCACTACTTCTACCACTACTACTACTACCACTACTAGTACTACTACTGAACATGACAAAATACCACATTGCCTGGAGAGAGGCTTCCCAACTCCCTCGAGGCAAGTACCTATCTCATTTTCACTTCCTCAGATTGCGACTATCTGACTTTTGCAGCCCTTTATCCGGATCTTCTGTCCTCTAGGTGCGTTCACACATCTTTTTTTTAATTTTGTATCGTCTCGTGCAATAAAAGTACGTTGCACGATTCGCGATTTTCGTTCATCCATTTCTTTCAATTCTAGGTTTTCTATTAATGGTATTCGTAGAGTTTTTCCTCATTTTTTCTACATTCTTTGACAGAAAATTCTTGCTTAAAAATCAGTTTCTTTTTACAAAATATTTTTAGAATTCATTATTGGAGTTATATTGATCCGTTTGTTTAAACATATTTTAATTAATTGTATAAAATTCATGCTAAAGGTTTACCAATTAAATTATCATATTTTGTTTTCTGTTAAAAAATGTAGAACCCACAATTAAACTATACAAGTTTTGAGAGAAATATTAAATAAGTATTAAATGGTTGGCTAAAAGTTGATTAAATAATTGACTTAGAATTTTGAAGAAAGAGATGAAAGAAGATATTTGATTAAATATATTATACATGGGGAAATGAGAATCAAACAATAAGTTTCTTTGCTTTTCTTCAATTTATGCTCCTTGATAGTGTTTTTTATATATTCTTCAAAAAATTGATGCAACGTGCTATTATTTGCACTCTTGCGATTTTTCAGATTCTTGGGTAGAAGTGGTACGTAAGTACGGTAACCAATAGTAGTTTAATAAAATTAGCAGGTGGACGAATCTCATTCAGAAAGCAACTCTCTAAAGCAGTGGTGAAGTGCTTTCAATTAATTTAAATCGAATTATAGAATATATTTAAATTTATTAAATGATCAAGTGCAATTATTAAAAGCACTTTTACCGCGAATTATCTCCGTTTCTGACTTTGTTGATTTTCATTAATATTTAACAAACTAAATTATTTATTACAAAATAAAAGTAAATTATCATTTGAATATTTCATATTTTAGAATTAGAGTTTTAATTTTATAGAATTTTTTTAATAGTTTCAATATTATAGTTAAAATAAAGTTACTTTTATATTATTTTTTCTAATTATTTGATATTTTTTTTTTTTTATTTTGTTTTGTAATTGAGTAATAATTTGAGGAACAACTGAAACGGCAAAGTCTGAAATGTTTTTAGATTCTATGTTTATTGGCTGATTGTATAATAGTTAATTTCTCTTTATAAAAACTGAATATACAGGTGAAAGAGCTGCTGATGAGTTTTGGTCAATTACGGGCGTTCAATTTGGTGAAGGACTCGGCGACGGGACTCTCCAAGGGTTATGCGTTTTGCGAGTACGTTGATGTTTCAATGACTGACCAGGCAATCGCTGGACTAAATGGAATGCAACTTGGTGACAAGAAACTCATTGTTCAACGAGCAAGCGTTGGAGCCAAGAATCCAATGATTGGGGCCCAAGCACCTGTGCAAATTCAAGTTCCTGGCCTCACAATGGCTGGTACAAGCGGTCCTCCCACTGAGGTAATTTTTATTCCCATATATAAAATATATTTTTTATTTTATATTTAACAAGGATCAAATTTGGTTTCTTTTAAAAAAAAAATCACTAATAATAATGATTGTTGTAGGTTCTATGTTTACTAAATATGGTAACACCAGAGGAATTAATGGAGGAAGAAGAATACGAAGATATTCTTGAGGATATTAAGGAAGAATGCAACAAATACGGAGTTGTGCGATCCGTAGAAATTCCAAGGCCAATTGAAGGTGTTGATGTTCCTGGATGTGGAAAGGTAATTTTATTTATATTTATTTTTTCACTTTAATTTTGCGAGTTACTAATTATTTTTTTCTTCTTTAGGTCTTCGTTGAATTCAACAGTGTGATTGACTGTCAAAAGGCACAGCAAACATTGACAGGAAGAAAATTCAACAATCGAGTAGTCGTGACATCTTACTTTGATCCTGACAAGTATCATCGCAGAGAATTTTAAATTATACAATTTCCCCTTGTCCCCCCCTCTTTTTTTTCCATCAATTTATAATTCATTATCTATATGAATAATATGAGTGGATATTTTAATCGCTTCGATCATGAAGCAACCACGATATATACGTGACTATCTGATTTAATCACGTAGACAAAAAAATTTAAAACGATGAATTTTATACGTCGTGTTTAAACAGTTAAAAAAAAACATCAAATGTTAAATCAGAAAACGACAAATTGTGGAGAGCATTTTTTTTTTTTAAAGAAAATTAAATGCCTGTTTTTAGGAAGTATATGAAACATATTTCAAAACGAATAATTCATTTTGATTCTTATTTTTTAAATCTGTACAATTAATTGTTCAGTGTTTCCTTTTCTGTTTTTATTAGTAGATTTGGGATTTAAAAAAGAGTCAATTTGAAGAAAAAAAAAAAAAACATTTGTTTATAGATATAAAAAGAACCGAGTCTGTATTCTTGGCTTTGTACAATTTGATTATCTTACATAATTTATAATGATTATAGTAATAATAATATTAATAATAATAATGACATTTCGTGTGAAAATGAAAGTTTTAATTTTTTTTCTCGTGATTTTAATTTAAACATCACCTTGTACCACTGGCTGATATGTTGTCCCTTCCATGGGATTATCATCAATTATAAATTTCTTTAGAATTAAATATAAACCACCACCGAGAACCAACATTCCTATACCCGAAATGAGGACAATGGACCATGCTGGTATCGCTGCACTTCCTGAAAATTAATTAATCTAAAATTTGATTCCTATACCATTGATATTTAATTATTTATTTATATATACATAATTTAATTTCTTTGTTTCTATGTTTATCTAATTGTATTTTTACACATAAATGATTCAACTATAGTTAATTAATTTTTATATATAATTAATTAACTATACGAGAAAATATATATAATTTTTTTTTCTACGTTTATCTTATTGGATTTTTACTTATAAATGATTTAACTATAATTAATTAATTTTTACATATATATATAATTACATAAATAATCAATTAATTAACTATAGTTGAAAATATACATTATTGAATCTTTAGACTTAAAAATTTATTAATTTAAGAAAAAAAAAATTCAAACTTACTGTAGTATCGTCTCGTAATAGTTTTACGTCCACGTAAAATTTTTCTACGTCCTTCAGCTTCTTCAATGAAGAGTCCTAGTATCACTGCACAAAAATAATCAAAAACTTAATCTATATTTTTCAGATTACGGGACATTTCATGTGAAATTTTGTTTGAATTATTTTAGATTAGAATAAAAATAAAATAAATGTTTTTAATTAAATAATAAAATTATTAAATATTTTTAATTTATATTAAATGGTAAATTCTCAATAGAATTAAAAAGAAAAATTACGTACGTAAACCAATTGCGAGATAGTATAAAACACTTTTTGTCTTCATTTTTTTTACTAAACAATCTTTAATTTTATAAACTGAAAAACTATGCACTGTGACAAATTGGGCGTCTCTCCCTTTGAGAAGTGATTCAACACTGATAAAACATTTTGATAACAGGTGCTATTTTCTTATCTACTCTGACATATTGAGAGATAAGAGGGAATGATGAAGAAACACATTTTACAAAATCATTCACAAAACGTAAATTCTACATCATCTTACAATAACATTCAATATTTGTCATTGATTCTCATTTTTGATATTACAAAAGGAAAAATTTTAAAGAAAATTTAACAACAAATTCCAATAACTTTTTTTTTCATTTATTACACTTCTCAACTTTTTAAAATGCACCCAAGCGCATAAAAATACAGTGTGAGTAAAAATACAAGTAAAAAGAAAAATTTAAATAACAAAAAAAAACAAAATGAGGATTGATGATAAGAGATAGGGGTTTGAATAAGAAATAAGAAGCCGTCCTTCTTTTTCATAATTCCAGGTTCAAGAAGTAACATTTCTTCCTTTTTTTTCTTATAAATATCACGTTTCCTTATAATGAAGGACAATAATATATAATTATAATCAGACGCACGTGTCTCATTACTAGAAAAAATTAATAGTGATTTTTTTATTATTGACAAATAATATAAAATATATAATATATAAGAAAAAACAAAATTTACAGCCCTTTGTATAGTACACAATCATGGAAGGAGGCCGTGATTGGTTTTTTTTTTCTAAAATTAAAGCAGATTTAAAAAAATAAAATTATACAATTTTTTTTTAGTCTTTGAAGCATCAAATAATATTGCTGACAATTTAAAAGTGAATCTGATTCTATAGAAATTTAATATTTTAAATATATTTATATATAAATAGCTAGCTCATTTTATATACAAGGCATCCCGCTTCGTTTTTTTTTTTTTTTTAATTTTATTGAATACTTAGCCTTGTGCTTTCATTCTCATTACAATTTTTCATCATCTTTCATACAATTTCAAAACTCTCTGTTAATTGTTTTTCTCTTTTTTTTTAACTTACAAACCTTTTTTTATATTTATAATATAATACATACACTTTCTTTAATATGAATCGTCGCTTTAAAGCACTTTCTGTGGTAAAACCCACGTTTCCTTTTTTTTTTTTTTTTTTAAATTTACACACTTTCTTTAGTTTCAAACATGGCTGCATGTACATCCTTATCTTTATAAATTGTTAACAATCAGCACCATTTGCGAGCAATCTATTGGCCTTTAGAAATGATTCTTTCCTGATTGACGCTCTTTTTAGTTTCCTTAGACGCAAAACTAGTTAGGTCATAAAATTTAGCTCAAATTTCCCCAAATTTCTGCGCTTCTGGATTCATAATTTTCTTCTTTCTTTAATAATTTCTAAAAGTAAATGGTAATAATAATAATAATTAATACAATTTTCAAAATAAAACTTTGTATTTCTGAATTAAAACCAGTTTTCAGTTATTAATTTTGAAAATCTATTAGAAATTTAATTTTTATTTACAATGTAGAATTTCTAAATATTTTGAAATAATTTATAGTTCTTAAATTATAAATCCTATTTTTTAAATTATAATTTTTTAGTTTCAACTTTATTCCGTGATAAATTATTGTTCAACGTTATAAAATTTAGATACAAAATTACGAAATATTACTTAACTACTAGACAGTATTTTTATTTTAAAACGTTGAGCAATAATTCGTCACTTCTTGCAAAAAATATTACTTTTTTTTTTTGCAGACGATTCTCCATTTATTTACTGTTAATGTTTAATTAGTCAAATATTTCTTAATTATTAAATAGAATACTGATTTTTAGCAGTGTTAATATAACATTTCAAAAAAAAACAAGTATTTTTTTCAAAAAGAAAATTATGAATTCTGAAGTGATGTTTAAAACAAAATATACAATAAATTAATAAATTTCTTACTAATATTTCAAGAGCTCTTTTATAATCATAGGAACAAATAGCACCCGATGCAGAGGTACGACAATTTATAAAATACACTTAGAAAAGTCAACGCCTCTGTCTACTTCAATTTTAAGAGTGTTACTGAGCTTTGCCTTCATAAGAACGTCAGGATAATATTTTAAAAAAGCATTTTTTTTTAACGAGTGCATACATCTTTTTTCGGCACAGCGTCCTTTTTTTTACTAATCGCGCTCAGTGACAAAAATTTAAATTACTTTGAAAAGGCAAAAAAATAAGATAAAAAAATTCAAAGTAGTAGATAATAATCTAATAAAAATATACATAGAATGAAATTCGCAATGACAATGAAAAAAACATTGAAAATGAAAAAGAAATTATTTTCAAAAGGAGAGAAAAAAGGTACTTAAAAAAAAGAAGAGTAATCGCAAAGGGACTAAAATAATGTGTTTCTGATTAATGAATTAATTATCGATAAATGATATAATACTGTATATACACATAAGAACGATTTGAACGTATTAAGTACTAGAAAAATGAAATAAATTAAATTCAAAATAAAAAAAACTAGGACTTTGTTTTTAAAAAAAAATAAATAAAGAGAAATTCATTGTGAACTATACAGCCTTCTAGTCAATATCACTGTTGTTATTTATCTATCTACGAGTAATTAATAACATTAGACTCTTTGTCGATAGGTCAATCTATAATACGAATCTTTCTAGTCTACGCCCTATAACTTCTAAAGCCACTTGAATAGATTTTTTTTTAATCATTTCTTTCACCATAATATATCTTAATAATGGATGGCATAACGAGTTCAGTGTAATCGAAATAGCATTAAGACTTTGGAAATCTCGAGACACTTTGAATTATATTAAAATGCGTTTATAATTTACTCACTATTATTGTTTATGATTTATCCTAAAATACTCGTTGCTATTGCAAATTTGTGAAAGGGAGGCGAGGGGGTGATTCTAAAAAAACTTGTCGTACGCATTCGACTTGACTTTAGTCTAGCAATATTTTTTTTCAAGGATAGTTTTACAAACATTGAAACTAAATGCACACGGTGTTTTCGGCGTCGTTTCAATTTATATAGCTAGACTACGAAATAATTAACATTAAATTTGGTTTTCTTTCAATTTTTTTTTTTTACCAAAAAGCCGGTAAAACATATTTGCATTTATTTAATAAAGCGTTTTCATTTTTTCTCTTTTTTTTTGAAGCAATGCTTCTGTTTCTTGTGATTTATAACTTGTAGTTTCATTTCTTTCAATTAATTAAATTAATGTTTATTAATTTAATTGATTGTTTAAAGACGATTTTTCTAAAAGTTGATATCAATTAAATATATATATATCGAAAAAAATTGTAATATTAAAATTAATTTTTTGTTTAATGTGTAATATTACCGAATAGTTGCGCAATTTTTGTATACTAGGCGCTTAAATTTACCTTGAGGCTAGCTAGAATTTCGCTCCGATGTATCTTTTTTCGTTTCATTTGTAACGGACGTTGGACTACACGTAGACGAAAGAGAATCTGCAATTTTTGCTTGTTGACTATTTGACGTTGAGTGAGAATCATTTTCTTCGATTTCACTTCTTCTATTGTCAGATTTAATATTTATTGATTGATTTTGCGATGAACTTTCATTTTCTTCAGTGAAAACACTAGAATCATCCAATTCCGGTATGTTTGTTAATTTGACTATTCCTTCATTTACAAGTGTACGCTTAAATGTTACTAGAGTTTTCCTTAAAGTGATGCAGAAACCTCTCGAGGCCGGTATCAAAGGAAATTCAGGTAGAATTGATTCATCTAAAAAGTAAATAAAAATTTTCGAAACAATTTAGTAAAAAAAAAAAAAATTACAATTACTCACCAACTTGAGCGATTTCCTTAAATGTCGTTGGAGTACAGGGAGACAATGGATGTTGATTATTGTGTTGTTCCGAGATCTCCATCCAACGATCCAACCTTTCGACAAGTTTTTCCGTATGACGTTTAAAATGCTCGATAATAATATCTTTAAAAATGGGCGGAGGATGTAGTAAAAGTTTGGTCTGCGCCTGTACCAATTTCAGTACAGCCATTTCATTATACATTCTCGAATTTTCCCTCCCTTGTTGAGATCCTCTTTGTTTCTCGAAGCCAGCTTCATTGAAATAAGGTTCTGGCACAAGAATGAGACCCTGAATTGAAACAATAACTTGCAAAAGTGTCGACGAACTTGTCCATACTTCTGTTCCACGACCAGCCCACGTTCCTAATAAACTAATACACACTTTTCCATCCTCATACAAATTTGGATTTAATCTGTCACTGCAATAGGAAATATAATGGCACAATGGCGGCGCTACTGGATAATCAGCGGATAATTGAAAATCAAAAAGAAAGAGTCCATCTTCGTAAGGAGTTTTTTCTGGACCTCGAAACATTACTGAATAAAGATCAATTCTATCTTCAAATCCTTTAACCCAAATTCCTGGCGGAAGTGAACTTCTCAATAGTTTAAGTTCCTTAGAAACAGTTCTGAAGAAATTCGTCGGATCTGTTGGTTGAAACATAGTGAGTTTAAATTTATGACAATCGGGAGCTGTTTCTTCGATCATAAAACCTTCACCCTCTGTATAAACAAGTGGAGGAATTTCAATTGAAGTATCAAGTGTTTCTTCAATTAAAACAGGTTTCTCCTTTTCTTTTTCCTCTGCCTCTTCTTTTGGCGGAATTTTCGCTGGTGAAGAATTTTTCGCAGCGTCTGACAATGACATTTTCGATAAACCAAATCGTTTCGTAACTTCCGCGTGTGCAAGGACCAATTGCGCTTTTATCAATGTGCACAATTTCACACAAACATGTGAACCTCCAAGATTATAATTAACTGGCCCTTGAGATTTTAAATCCTGGTCATCATCTTTCTCGGAATCTTCTTTGACAAATGATGTACGATTGGCATCTTCACTGAGTAAAAATTCGCCACTTGATTCACTGGAACCCGATTCTTTTTTTGAATTATCCGCTGAAAATAATCCCGAATCTTCAGGATTTGGATTCATATTAATGAAGAGTTTATTAATTTCGTCCTGCTCTTGACTCTCTTTTTTCTCATCCTCTTTTGCAGTTTCAATTGATTCGCTATTAATTTCCACGGTTATGTTTTCTGACGCGTCTTGTGTACTCTCACTATGTAAATTTTGATCAATTTCTTCGGAACCTGCCGGTTGATGAGTAAACAGTCTTGTCACTTGATCGGCCATTCTTTGAGCGACGTTCGCACGTCCTCGCTCGCGAACTCTCTCAAGTAATCCCTGGAAGTGACTCTCATGGAAGAACGAAGTTCCCATTAATTTATCCATATATCGACAATCCTTGTAGACTTCGAGTAATTTTCTCATTACCTCGGTGGTCTGTAGGGATGGATTTTGAGTGAATATTTCCTCCAATCTGGACATTGCCTTCCGTGCTTTTTCTATATGAGCTGCTAATTTTGGTTTGATATTTTCTGTTTGCTCAGTTGAATCCGTATCGGCAATAAAACAGTCTTCAAGTTCAGTCTCCCATGAAGCGTCTGATGACACGTCGTCCCATTCTCCTTCGTCGCTATCGTATTCTCCTACTTTGTAGAGATCCTGCGGCCAACACATACTAATGTGACCGTCTATCCACCACACTTTTACTAGTCCTTCCGGATAATTATCTAATACTTGTCCCGCTGTACAATTTGCGTCCTCTCCCTCAAAATTCGCTATTCGAATTACTCGGGTACCGGGTCTATATTGAAAATCCGGATGATCTTTCAAATCGTAGACACTCACTTCTCGATCTTCTAGGAATATTGGCCTTTAAAAAAATAGTTCGACATTAGTCTTCGAAATAGAATGTACCATTTATTTAAAAATTGATTTTTACTCACTGTGGACTTTGACTAGATGTATAAGTTCTAAACCACTTTATATTTGCAGTTCGTCCCTGATGATCGACACTTTGAACCACTCCGTACATTCTTGATTCTTCCTTCTGATCAACAACAAAATCTCCAGGAAAGAATTCTTTGTCATCTAAATGATGAATTGGATACAATTGCGTTGATGGAATTCCTGCAGTTAAATTATAAATTAATTCTTCTGTAAATTAATTAGTGAATTAAATTTTCAAAATTTTAATAATAGGCATCTTAATTGTTTCCAAATTACTGTTTTCTTTAGCAAGAAAAAATAAAACTCAATTTTAAAATCATACCAAGTTCAACAGATCCATCCTGCCAGACAACATTTGCTTTAGTGTTTGTTGATAAAGTTTCTACAACAATTTTAGTACCAGGTAGCAAAACCGGTGGAGGCACTTTTTTCTTTGCTTTACAAAGTTTCTTTTTCTTAAGAACTTTTGTCATCAACGCAGGACCTTTCTTCTTCCTTCCCATTGACGACATACTTGAACACCCGCTGGATATCTGCAAAAAAAATTAAAAAGAAAACCTTCAGAATTCTTTTTGTAATTTAAAAAATACATGAAAAACTGTATCATGAAGTATTATTTAAATGACGCTAATTTCATTACTCTTATTTATTCGATGAATTTAAAACAAATCTCTTTTGGAACGTGCAATTTTGCAAGATATTCAATTCACATGTATCAAATAATTGACAAGATTCCAACTTGATTATTTGCCAACTAGGAAATTATGCATCACAGAGAAAATAATACAACTTTTGTGCACTTCAATTGAAAACCAATGATTCAAAAAAATTTTTTAAACTTACTTTACAGAAATATTTTATGATTCGAATTAGAAATTAAAACTAGAAGGGGATTTAAATTGCAAAAGAAAATTTTAATTTAAAAAATTAAAATCTAATTTAAAATAATTAAAATACCGAGGCAGTGTCGCTCTGAGAGCCAGTATCTTCTGTGTCCCAATCATCAGAACTCTCGGCATTTTGATTATGCGACGGTGGCATTAAAACATTACTAGAGACCGAATTCACGTTTCTTTGAGCACTATTGTCCCGTCGTTGATTTTGAGCATTAGTTTCATTTTCACATTTCTCCTTATCCTTATCTCTCTCTTTGTCTTTATCCTTTAACTTATCATCTAAACATTTCGCAGCACTTGAACGCGTTTTTCTTGGACTGTGTTTAGGAACTTGATAATTTTCCTTTTGCTGCTTTCTCCATTGTTCCCTGGTTATAACGTTCTCGTTGCCTTTAATCACATAAAAATTACGATCACCAACTTGAAGTGTTGACGGTTCAAAAACATTTAATAATTTCAATTTCTTGAGATCCTCGCCTTCAACAACGAATTTTGGTTGTGCTTGATCCGACCACGCTCCATCTTTCGAATATGCTCGACATTGCCAATGAACACCGACCCAATCTGTTTCCACTTTTTCCACAATTACTTTTGTAATTCTCTGAGGTTTCGATTTACGTTTCGCTTTCATTTCTTTTGTACACTGAATCCATTGCGCATCCTCTAAACAATGAACAGGTCCCCATAAACTTTGACCGGGATAAAATTCCGAGGAGTGTGGAAAATCATTCTCCTAAAATAGTAAATTATAAATATAGAAATAAAAATGTTCGATTTGAATTTTTTAAATTTGAGAAAAATTTTACATACATTGTCTCGTTTTTCTTCAAAATTCTCCAAACCTCGTGCATCCATTTCATTAATGACACATCGAGATCCATCGGGTGTGGCCAGCCACAATTTAAAATGAACAATTCTGATTCCACCCACCCAGGAATCCATACAAACTGCAATGTCGGTTGCAAATTCCTGAAAGAAAATATTTCTACTTTAATATTCTATTCTATTTTTCTTTCTACTTTAATACTGTATCGCGAATTTTTCATGTCAATTGAAATTCAAATGGTATTTCGATTATTTTTCAAATTCTTTTAAACCAAATAAGAATTTTCTAATAAAAACAGAGTTGATAAAAACGAAAACTAGAATTGTTTTTTTCGAAAATATAAACATTTTCAACTAAAATTATCTAAAAGTAAATGTTTTGATTTTTGAAATGTAAATAACTTTATAATAATTTATAGTAGTTTCTCAAATATAAAAATATAAAATATAGCTACCTCGAGAGGCACCAAATCTTCGCTTTTAATGTTTGTAAGGACTTGCTTTGAACCAATGACTTGAACACAAGCTGTGAGTTCAATATCTCTGCAATAACCCCTCTGAGTGTCTTTTCCTTTAATCATACGACGCACAACATCTCCTGGCATCAAAGTTCTATCTGCCAGATGAACCTGACAATCATATGTTAATTTACAATCAACACAAATTTTACGAAATCAAAATATTTTTACAGTATAGAAAATTTGTAATTTAATAATAAAATTCACAATTCTCTAGAATCTATATATTTTTAGTTATATTAAAATGAAAATAAAAGTAGTGTCACCTATCAAAAAAATGTACATTGCGACGTAGTGTGTTTAACTTTGCAAGAAAACGAGAGAGATAGGGGATAAAGTGTGCTTAGAATTTTTCATAATATTATTTAGATTTACATACTTTTTTGGAATTGACGAGTTCTTCGACACCGGAAGGATGCCAGACCACGCGGATTTCGCCCTTTTTCCTCTTAGGACTTTCCTCATTGGCAGAACTGTCGTCGGACATATCCTGATCGTCGTTTTCCATAATGATGCCAAATTCAACATTACCCTTTTTGTCGACCCTGTAGACGACATCTTCATAGAAATATTGGTCGTCGACGGCGTTTGTAGCCATCTTACCACTTCAAGTATATAATAATAATAATAATACTTTTGAAAACAATCTTCTTCTTCTTGTCGAATGCCAAGTGGCCGACAAAAGTGTCAGAAACCACGAGACACGGCGCACCGCACTTGGCGCACTTCGCAAAACGCGAATAATTGTCCGATTATTCCCGAGACCAAGACCGCGACCCCGACCCCAATCCAATTCAACTCTCGCCGAACCCACGACGACCGATCTAGAATTTCGTCTTTTTAAAGATCGGTCTTCCGGTCGGATCATCGACCCACAAATTTCCCCACAGCACTAAACGATCGTCGTTTTTTCTTTGTTTTTTTTTTCAATAACAAAATTTCACCTTTTAAATAATTTTCACTGTAGAATCAAATTTTTGGAGTTTATTTCGAATAAATTGTTTCATTTCTCGTTTCTGGTTTTTTTGCGACAATTGTTTGATTTGTTCTTTGCACTGCAAATTAAAGGTTATGTATGTAAAGTATTTGAAAAAGATATTCTCGTATATTATTAATACTTATCATATAAATAACAATTCTATTTTTACAAATACTTACATAATTTTACGAGTATTTTTTCTGTACATATCACAAATATTGTTAATTGAAATTCAAAATATTTAAATTCCACTTGACCATGTCACGTACTGTTGTATATACAGGTTTGGAATTTCATAATAGCTGGCGGGGTCTCCGCCAGGAGGCGCATTGATTTAATTCCGGACTTGTAGCTACAGAGGATAAAGAAGTTTTGTGTTTCGACGTTTTCACGCTAGGTTCGCTATATTGTTTTTACATTGCCAATACGCGCCTAAATAGTACTTCAAAGATAATTTTAACGTTTTTTTCTGTTTAGTTTTCTTTAATTAAGAAATAAGTATTTTAATGAAAACCATCTTTTTCGACGTATTTGATAATCTCATTTTGAGTAAAAAGTTAATTAAGTATATTGAACTATCAGAGAATTGTTGTGACAAATGAAAGAAGATATTCTATTTCATTGAAGAAACAGCTTCAATATTTTAGGTTTTTTATATTTTATACTTAGAAGTCGAAGAATATAGAAAAAAGATAATAAAAAAAATTGAAAAATAGATTGTTCGTGAATTGGTATGTATTTTATTTAAATAATTTTAAGAAATATATAATGTTTTTTACGGATGCGTTTCACTTATGACATAACCTCAAACCACGGTTTTGTCTGTGAACAATCCAAAAACAATTTTCCATCTAATTATTATTAATACTGATCTCTAATTATTCATTAATTTTATCTCAAAACTATATGAGTGTTGCAGAAACGGGGATGTCTAGAAAAATGTCTTCAAACAAAAAAAAGTATAAATTTAAAAAATAAATTTTTATTTTATTTCCTAATTGTTTATTATGATTTTCAGTGCTTTTGACCTCAACTGATGTGGATAAATACATTTCTACAGACACGTAGGCGTTCAACAATCGGATATGTATATTCCAGCTTCACTTTTGCTATCAGAGGAAGATCGTCGAGAGAGTGGACATCATTGACCACGTAAGTTCATATAAGAGTGTGCGAAAATGTGAGTGGGTGTTCTGACAATTCCCGATGGCAATGTTCAACTTTTCAGGCATGCATGCATGAACTGCAATGAACCAGCAGATAGTCTCCGCAAACTATAATACTGTATCATTTCCGTTTGACAAGTAAATCATTGTCAGAGTTGTTTTATTCTGATGAGAGGTGTTGTCCCTAACATCGGTCATTTCTGCCTCTCTAATCAGTTATATATCATATATATATAATTTTATCAATAATTAGAAGACATTCAGTATTTACAATAAACGCGTTTGTTTGAGATTTGATACCGCTATTTCCAAATTGAAACGAAATTAACGATTTTAATGAAAAACATTAAATTAGTGAATTTTAACAATAATAATTAGTTTTGCATTTAAAAAAACGGTTTAAACAAGTATAGGTAAAATGAGAAAATCAAAATTTGATAAAAAAATATATTTTAAACGAATATATTGCTTATTTGTTTTATGTACAAAATTTATAAATTGAATTGATGTTATCAATGGACTCTTTTAAAATCTGATTCGATTGATAAAATGTTTAACAAAGAGTAGCGCGTACGCAAACTATTAAAAGTAAATCCTGCGGCGGTCTTTCTATAAACTCGTTGCGTTGATTTTCATTCTAAATTTAAGCCCGGTTTGTGCTTTGTTTTACAAGTGAATTACATTCCATGTGCGTGTATATATGTGTGTGTGTCATGTTAATCGGTTGATCCACAGTACTTTATTGACTGGGTATACGGATATATAAATAATGTGCACCTATGTATGTTCAGAAGACATTTATTCAAAAAGAGAGAGGGAGAGAAAAAGAGAAAGATAGAGATAAACAGGAGCCTGTATTTCTCGCACGATCAACGTGACAAGTAGATTTCCCCCGTTTTAAATGAGTTTTCCTCTATAAGGCGCGTGTAATAATTATTTTAGTATGAAATTCAAAAGTAATAGAATTTCATTAGACAATTGAGTTAGTGTTCGTGTTGTTAATTACAAGTAATGATAAATTATTGTTTAATTCAGAAAAAAGGGAGAAAAGGTATGGAAATTAGAAAAAAAAAATTAATTTAAAAAATAAATACACAAAAATTTAAAATAAAAAAATTAAAATATTTTTTTTTATTTAATATTCTTTTAGAATAATTTATATATTTTAAATATAGAATTTTAATTTTAATTAATAATTACCTGAAACTCATAATTTTCACTAATTAGAAAATTATTGTTAATAATAATAGTTTAATAACAATAAAACTAATAATAATGATCGTTTTTTAATCATATTGGGGACAATATGTTATATTCTGATACACTTTAAGTATCTGTGACATGTTGAGATTATTGTGAGACATTTTCAAAGAAGTCAGTAGCGTTATCAGTAGTTTGTAATTATTACGAAACAGTTTTAACATAGATCAGGAATTCTATTAAGTTATGTCTAACGATTTCAGTCTATATTAATTATTTTCAAAAATTTTTATTAATTCAAAAATCGTAAAGATTTTAAAGAATTTTTTTCTTTTTTATCTTTTATGTTATCTTAAATAATATTTTTTAGTTTTAGATCTTAATTGTTAAATTCAATTAACTTATTATTAAAAATAAAATATTAATTGATTAAAATTGTTCTAGATGCAAAAGCGCAAAGTTCGATGGATTGTTGAAATACCTGAAGAAGCAGAAGAGCAGAAACCAGTCGAGTCACAAATTACTGAAATTAAGGGTAACTTTTTCTTTTACAAAATTTTAAACTATTTTATTTTGGTAAAAATAATGTTATATTATTTCTACATTAATAATCGCAATCATTGAACAAAAAATGAGAGCATTAGGGAAATTAAAAAATTTTATTATTAAATTTATAAAAAAAAGTATATATATATATATATAATATTTCAATTGAAGTGGACAAAATGAAAAATTCAAAAGACATATTAGAAAATACTTACTGTCCCTGACTTTTATTATATATGACACAATACTGTTTACAACTTATGCGTAAATTTTAAAAATGACTGACATTCACTGAATAAGTTATATAGAGAAAGCTCCATTGTACGTTGGGATAAATTAACTAAGATCTGTCAGCGTTTTATTATATGTTTTTCGTTTTTACGATCGCTTTTACTATTTGCAGAATTTTATTAATAGACATGATATTCAAAATCTCATTTTTATTCACATTTCATCACCTTCGCTTTTGTTTAAAAATTATAAACTCTCGCGAGAGAAAAATAATTTTTTAACAATCTTCTTCCTTCTGTTTTTTTAAAAATAATTTTTACATTCTTTTTTTTACATTACTCAAAAATATTTTTTAAAAACATTAATTAAAAAATAAAAATTTTTAATTAATCCTTTAATTTCTATTTATTTTTGTTAAAAATTAAGCGTAAATAATTAACAAGAGTTAAAAACTAGATTAAAGATATGTAAATTTCAACATTGTTTTATAAAATGAACAATTTTATCAATTAGGTTCCTAGTGCAACAAATCAAGATGATATCACTAGGTTATTGACATAGGAATGTATATAGTAATAATAATTCCCGCACTTGTTCTGATTAAGTATCATTTATAAAGTCGCGAGTCAAATACATATTTAATCCTTTATGTAGATCTGTAAATTATTTTATTTATTCTTCTATTATAGAAATAGGAACATTTAGTTATATATATACATATATACTTTTTTTTATGAATTATATAAACAAGTTTTTTGATATTTTTTGTTTGCCAGAAATAATTAGATATTATTAGTTGAAAAATAATGATGCTTTATTTCTTTTAAAAGTAATTTAAATTCTGCATACATTGCAAGTATATTGTGGTAACGGAACCGGTCCCAGAATTTGAGAATCGCTTGAATGAAATACCATTTAAAATGACTTCGACGCACTGCGAGAATGGGTACCAAGGGGTCCAGACCCCAGGAGAGAATGGTATATATATTTACCTCTTGAAACTCCTGTTCTCCTGTTTACCTGTACCTTGTTGGGCCTTACTTCTAGTATTCAGTGAGGGGTCCCCGTTGTATTATACACATATATTTTGCACGTATTGTGTGGTTCGTGGGTCCCATTTCAAACCACAAACTCAAGGCCACACACCATACGTACTCCTTTCGATAAGTCAATTTTTCTTATTGTCATATTTTATTTATTATTATTTCTCAAGTTTTTAATATTTAAATGAATTTTTACATAATTGTTATTTTATTTTGTTTATATTTAATTATATTTTATATCAAAGTATTTTACATTTCTGGGAAAATCTCTGATAAAAAGTAAAAATTTTTTTAAATTATTCATTAAAGAATGTTTGATTTATTTTCTTTTTTGATTGCATTTTACTCTCAAAATTTCATTTAGCTCCCTACTTATTTATATTTTGACGTCCGTATAAGTTTCCCCTTCATCTAAAACTTCAATCTATTCATACTTGGTTTGTATTATGTGCGTGGGTTTTATGAGAATTTCTTATTTACATAATGCAAAATCTCATTTATATTTACTGTTGCTATAAACATTTAAACGATTGAAACAAATACACATTTTTAAAGAGCAAAAAATTAAAATATTAATTTTTCATTTTATATAAATAAACATTAATTATTTAATTATATTTCATTTATTTATTTATTAAAATTTTTTAATTCAATACATTTTATTATTTTTATAACAAATAATTATGCCATTATTTATGTTTATTAAATATTTGAATATTACTTTCTTTTGAATTTCCCGCGCTAAGATGAGGCCTTGTAATTGTGTGTGGAGGGGGCTTGAGGGGAAGATAGTGGGGCCTTTTCTCCTTGTCTACGTCCACGGTTGCCAGTTTGTTTCATGCCACCCGCGCGGTAACCGGTGTTATTTTCGTTTTTTTTTTTTTTAAATAAGTGTTTTGTAAATTCCTTTGATCATGTCGGTGTAAATCAGTTATTGTGCTTTATTGTCTTCCGTTTCTAATATTATAAATCATGTCTTCCTGTGTTTAGAATCAATCTATTTCAATTACTCCAAAATGATACTCTCTTGTATAAAGTTACTACCTTTGGATCTTGTGTCGCATAGTTATCACGTCCTACTTTATTCTATGTGCATTTAAAAGATAATGTATTTACAGGAAAAAAAGAGATCTAAAATAGTGCATAAAATTATCAAGGTGAATGGAAAATTGGTGATGTTTACATCAGTTACTTTCCCATATGTGTTATTGTCCGGTGTTGTGTGAGAATCAACAAGTGTCATGGATTATCGTTTTACGTTGATCGTAATTTTGAACAATTGAGTGTAAATTTATCAATTATCTTGAAGAAAATGAAACGTTAACAATGCAAATTGTTTATTTCTGTTGATATTGCGTCGAAATAATTATTGGCTAAAATTGGAAGGTGTGAAACATTTTGGAGTATTCATATCAACAATGTCCGCTTTCTTAAACAGCGTGAGACTGGATGGTTAAAAGGAATACTGTGTGTGTGTGCATAATTAAAAAAGATTTTACCGCTTGCCGGCCAAGAGAACCGATCTGTGATCGTTTGTTCATCTCACGTGCCCTTGGATGAATATTACGTCAAAGACTTAATTGTCGTTTGTTGAATCCTCAAAATGGAAGTCGTTTATATAGGTGTGTATGTTATTTTTTTTTTCTAAATTATCTTCCATTTACCATTGAGATTGTCTTTTTAAGATAATGTAGATTTTCAAAAGCTACCTGCAGGAGAAAGATCACCTTCTATTAACCTGTTCTTATATTGCAAAAAGCCGTCTCGAGTAGTACGTGGAGAACATTAAATAGACATGGTTTTATGTACTCTACGTAGATGAATTTTAAGTTTTTATCCCAGAATAGAATGTTTTTTTTATATCAACGTGATCTAACTTATGAATTCAATGAATATTTTAAATTGTTTAGAAGGAATAATAATATCAAATTTATTACTCATTTTTTAAATTGACAATATTTGAATTCTTTTTAAATCAATAAAATAATATCGATTAAATATTATTATAGTATAGGTAATTTAATAATTAATTACGTAACTTAATTATGTAATTAATAGATATAATTAACGTTTATTAAAAAAATATTGACAACTTTAGAGGAAATATCTCTCGTTTTGTGATGACCTTAAAAATACAAAAAAAAATGTATAATAACGGTATTTGGAAAAACATGTGAAATCGAATTTATGAAATTTATTGTAAATGAATTGCATAATGTTTAGAATTGTTTGCAAACGATAAATTATTATTAATTTCGAAAGAATTAAGTGCAAGTATTAAAATCAATTAAATTGATTACATACAGCCAAAATTGAATGATGAAAATATTTTTAAATAATATAGAATTTTGAAAAAATGACAAAGAAATATTAATCTATATTTTAAATCTAAAAAATATGTTTTACTTGTAACATTTTGATTTTTTTCATGCTTCCTGTCTCATTATAAGATAATCCAAACTTATACGCTTTTAATGACTGTTAATATTGTCGCAGTTTTGAAAATATTATTTCAGCTGACGTGTAAAAACATATTTAAGATTTTAAAATATAAAATTAAGATTTTTTTAAATATTGTCAATATTTACAGCTAAATTTTTATTATTTTAAGCATTATTTGCAAATATAAATATTTTGAATAATTTTAATTATTAACTCTCTTTTCCGGTGTCTTAATTTTTATATTACAATTGAACTGTTGGCTCAACATTCATAGAATTTTTACTTGTGTGAAAACTTGATCCTCATGTAATTGAATAGCCTTTCGTTGAGTTTACTACATACACATTTATCTATTTCATTCTTGTAGACATTTACAGTGTACTGCAATATTACATTTCTTATATTTGCATATTTACACTAGTTGGAGGGTTTATCTTATCATCGACCTATTTAAGTAATTTAAAAAAAAACGAAATTGAATTTCATTAAAAAAAAAAATTGGTTAATTCAATCAATTTTTATAAATTCCTAATTCAATTATTTTCTTATGTATAATTTCAATTATTATATCGTAATAACGTGTGCTTTCAACATAACTTGTGTATATTTTATGTTTTCGATTTCGGCTTTCTTACTTTGATCTTCAATTCTTGGTATGTTTTTCATTCATATGGTGCTTTCTACCCCATCCTTGTTTTTATGAATCTTCTTGTGTGTTTAAGATGCATTTTTATCTTATTCCCAGAAACATCTGGTTTTTCATTATTCTTGGATTGCTTGGTTCCTGTATTTTTTTTTTTTTTTTTATTTAAATTTTTATGACATTTCTTATCAGTAGATTTCTTTTTGTTTTTAATTCTGTAAAATTGCAGAGATTTTATTCATTTTCTCAGATAAAGTTTTAGGAGGGAATATTGTAAATTTTTCTCATTGACGTGATTCTTTTGTCACAATTTAAAAATTCTTCACGTTATTGTTACTTATTTAAAAAAAAAAAATTGTCAATATTTTTATGCATTTTTTCATTTTTTATGGATACAAAAGTATGAATATTATGATTTTATTATTAATTTTAATTAAATTTATTTAATTATTTTCATAAATTATTTTGATTAATTTATTACCTCTTTTGATCATTTAAGAATTGCAAATGATTATTTTAATTATGTTTAAACTATATATATACAAATTTCCTCATATTCAAGAGAAGCATTACATTTCATTTGATATTAAATTACGCAAATTAAATTCTCTCAACTTCATTAATTTAACTAATTTATGTCTATATATTTTGATTATAAAACACGAACTAGCAGTATTGAAATACATTTTGGAGTATATGCAATATTTCATCTTTATATTTGGCAACTTAGTCTTTTAATATATATAGTGATTTAATTTTGGCATATACATTGTTTGGAATAAGAACACGTATTCAATTAACAAGTTTCATTCATGTAAATTAATTTCTTGCATATGAACCTATCGGTTATTAGCTGATAAGGGGCTCATTAATAAAAGTTTTGCTAATGATATAAAGTGATGAATGAAAAATATACAATGCATAAAATTACATAAAAAAAAGAAAAAAAGAAATATATAGTTTCGATGACCCGCAAAATAAAAATAGCAATTATTTTCCCTTAATGGACAGAAATTGTTCTTATTTAGAAAATCTGTATGTAGGAATTTGGAAAAGGATATTTGAAAAAGAAGTTTTTATCTTTTAATAATATTTGTTAAGTTCACGTACGCATTCATATATATGCAAAATTAATTATGTCAGGAGAAAAAAAAAGGTGCAGTCGTGAGCTCGATTTTCATTTCCCTGTCACTCTTATCCAATTACTGGCACCCCTTTTGCATTGTGAACTCATTTACTTGTTAATTAGCTCGTTTGTAAATGTGACACGTACCACCCGCTCGAGAAACTACGTTAATCTGGGTTAATATGAGTAAAATAAGAACTAAACCTAGAACTTAACTGTTGATCTCGCGATATTAGTTAACATCCCACAGAGCAAATTTTTCAGCTGAGAGAGTTCAATCCCAATTTTCATTATTCGAATTCTAAACTAGTAGATTTGAAAATTATAATTATGTCATTAGTATTATTTATTTAATTTATTTTTATTAAAAGTAAAATTATTTGAATTACAACATTTAGAATATAATACCCCTTAATTATTTTACTATTATTAATAATTAAGCATATTATTCTATTCTGTTATTATAATCTATCGGTTTGCATTCAATTATTATTCTACTAATTATTTAAAATAATAATTATTATTCTAATGCAATATATTCAAATATTATTACAATTATTTAATATTCGCCCAATATTTGTTTTATATTTAGAGAATTTATTCACGTATTTTAATATATTATATTTGTTTTTAGCAGTGGAGATTTACAAGGAATCAGAAAAAAATATTTTAGTTGCTCTTCACACTGATTAAAGAACTGAATTTGAGTCACTTGGAAAATTAGGTCAACATAACAAACCCATTAATTAAAGAATCATATTTAAATTTTTTTTCATTCATTAAAATTTAAAGACACACTTTGGCTTCATAAGAAATCTTAAAAGATCCGAATTGAAAAATAAAAAAAGTAATTTTAAAATGGATTTAAATATTTTCTTAATTTTTTCTCGAACAATACAAATTTTTCTGATTCAAATTAGTAATGGCACAAAAATCCTTTAAATATAAAAATTGAAGTTTAGTAAAATACTTTTTTTTTAATTAAAATGTACTCTTGACTTTATTGAATCATTTATGATCTCTCAAGTGTTGTATGGGACAAGAGAGGACCACTGAAAACAGTAGAATATATTTAATATACATGTGCGACAGAAAATAATTTAAAAATGAAGTGCGTGTTTGACGAAAGCCCTTAGTGGTTTGAACTCTTGTCTGCTCATTTGTACAATTATGCGATGTAATAAAGTTTGAATAGTCCGCGCATGCTTCTCCCTTTCATGAACACGAGGATAACCACTATATGTCTGAGTTGAGTGAACTGTATCAAATTACATAACTTGCAAAATACGCAAAGATTAAAAGAAAAACGAGTATTTGTGTGACACATAAGATGCAGCTGCTGTGTCTTTATAATGTACATAATAATATCATCAATTCTTTAGAGAATTTTTCTAGTTCAAAGCATGAAGACAAACTCGCTTTTATAAACCCATTTTCTGAGTACTTACAAAATTCAAATTTAAATTATTACTCATATTTAATTAAATATATTAATCGATAGTTTTATTTATAACAAATTTTTTTTGAAATAGAACTATTCAATTTTTGATGATAAATATATTAGAAGAGTTGCTTTTTTATCGTGTAACAAATTCCGGATCACTTTTTATTTGATGAAAGATTTTTCTTACACGGGATGTATTTAACACGGTCATTAAATTGGTCGGACGGAAGAGACTCAAAAGAAGTACTTTACAAGTACTCAGTATTCGAAGAGATACCCATGCAAGAAACTCAACCGTCTCTTCATTAACAGCCAGACGTCAGGTCAATTGAAAGCGAAGTAGACTGATTTATCTTCCTTTCGCTTTAGTATCTATATCAGTATTCACTGACCTGAAAAATGTACTGTGATTTCGTTAATATTCTATTACACGCTAAACAATATTTCATTTTTTACATTAATGTAACTGTTTTATGTAATGTAAAAATATAAAAAATAGATTCAACAAATTTTTTTTAACGTAATTGTTTATTCGATTTGAATTTGAAAATCTTTTTTTATATTTATTTTGTTTTAAATTGTTTATGTGTTTCACTTGAAAATTTTCTGTATACAGGAGATTTAAGACACTTTGACCAAACACAGGTTTTTATATAGAAATCATTGAAAGAACTCGTTATTCCACTTTTGGATTATATATAAAGGTTTAAAACGAAGTTTTGTTATTTTGCAAGGAGCAAAAACAGTCAAGCGTGAGTCGATTGTATACTTTAATCTAACAGCAAAATACGTGATCTCCATCGGTTATATAGAAATGTATATAGGAAGACTGTCTCATTCATTCGTTCACTTGCTCATTCATATATACATTCCCAAGTAGGCGTAGGTCATTCGCACTATATATTTTAATAATTTCATAAATTTCTATCACATAGATATATTATTTTTTACTTTAGAATATCTACATTGCTTTGATAAAAATATTCTTCATATATATAACCCACGTAGAAAATTCCTTATGGAAATTACCACCTGGAAATTCCAAGGAAAATTCAGTTAAAATTTCCGCTATAAAATTAAATTCAAAATTAATTTAATTCACTTTTTAAAATAGATATTTTGATTTAATTTCAGATGAACGGGAGGATGTGCAAAAGAAAACATTTGCAAAATGGATAAATTCACAACTTCTCAAGGTAAAAATTCAATCTTCTTTTTTATAAACTTGTAATAAAAAAAAAAAACTAATTTTTATTATATTTTTGCAGAATAATCATGAACCAATTGCGGATTTGTTTGTCGATTTACGAGATGGAAATCGTCTTTTATCTTTATTGGAAGTTCTTACGTCCAAGGGATATGTGAGTTTGATAAAAAAATTTTAAATATATTTTTATATTATCATCAGTTTATTTTATTGTATATTTTGTTAATTTCAGAAAAGAGAACGCGGTCGTATGAGAGTTCATCATCTGAATAATGTGAATAAAGCACTGCAAATTCTCGAACAAAATAATGTAAGTTTAATTTAATTTTTCAATCTTTTTTTTAAATACCGTCAATATCTTAAATTCCATATTTTATTGTTTCCTGTATTCAAAATAATGAATAATTTACAGGTGAAACTTGTCAATATAAGTAGCAATGATATTGTTGACGGAAATCCAAAATTGACTCTTGGTTTAGTATGGAGTATTATTTTACACTGGCAGGTTAGTAAAAAATCAATTTTTCTAATTTACTAAAATTTTGTTTGCAGAAAATTAATATTACTTTTTTTTGTCAGGTCCAATATCATTTGAAAGATTTAATGTCAGAATTACAACAAACTAATTTGGAGAAAACACTTCTTGCCTGGTGTCGACAAAATTCACAGGTAGATTTTTAATTTTTTAATAATAAATTTCACTACAGAGATAAAGAAGGAAAATTTCTCTTATTTTATTGATTGACTAAAAATGAGACAATTTTTTTTTATTTGTTCTAGAATTATCCAGGTGTTGATATAAAAAATTTTACAACTTCCTGGTCAGATGGATTGGCATTCAATGCACTTCTACACCGATGGAAACCGCAGTCATTCGAGTTTAATAATATTGCACGTAAACATCCAAATGCACGATTAGATCATGCCTTTCGATTTGCACAGGAACATCTTTCGATTGAACGACTTTTGGATCCCGAGGGTAATTTCAAGATGAAAAAAAAAAATAAAATTGTGTTATTTATGATCTTCCTGTTATTATGTTTTTTTTGCAGATGTCAATACGGCAGTACCCGATAAAAAATCAATAATGATGTACGTCATGTGTCTTTTTCAATCTTTACCTCATTCTGGTGATGATGTTTCTGCTATTGATATTTCTACTGCTAGTGACACTACTAGTCCCGCTACAACACCAAGTGCAGAGGTAATTTATTTTTTTAATTATTTAAACATAAATTTACATTATTAACGATGTGCTTCATTTAATAGAGTTCATTATCGTTTACAAACTTTGAAATGCCAACATCAAGACCTATGAGTCTCGCTACTAATGTTTCGGTAGAATTGGGCGGTTATCAAGTTGCGCTTGAAGAAGTTTTGACTTGGTTGTTGGGTGCTGAAGATAAATTAAATCATGCTCCGGAACCTGGCGATACTTTAGAAATTTTAAAAGAACAATTTCACGAGCACGAAACATTTTTAATGGAATTATCTGGTCATCGAGATGGAGTGGGAGCTGTTTTAGAAGAAGGAGCACGACTATTGGGTGATGGAGGTTTACAAAAAGATGAGGAACATGAAGTGCGAATTCAAATGTCTTTACTCAATTCCCGATGGGAAGGACTACGAATGCGAGCAATGGAGCGACAATCTAAAATTCACGAGGTATATATATATTTTTATTTTACAATTAACTAATTAATAAAATAATAAGTTCAGAAGAGAAATAATTGTCCGTTTTTTTTTTGCAATAGATATTGATGGGAAAACAACAGAGTCAATTAGATTCTTTGAGACAGTGGTTGACAAAAACAGAAGACAAAATTTCTCGCATGGCCGATGTGGAATCAAAACAATTGTCTTTAGAGGAGCAAATAAAATTATTGGATGAATTAGAGGAAAATATACAGGGACAACAAAATGTTGTCGATGGATTAAAGAATATGATTGTTGTGGTGGATGAGGATAATTCTGAAACTGTATATGCTGAGATGGAAGATCAACTTTCAGCACTTGGAGAACGTTGGACTCATATTTGTCAATGGAAGCAAAAACGAAGACACGATTTTGAAATTCTCTCATTATTATGGAAAGATGCGATGGATGAATATAAAAAATTGGTAACACGACTTAATGAAACGGAAATAACATTAAAACAAATGGAGGCAAGTCCTGCTTCTGAATTGGGTGAAATTTTAGAAAGAATAAAAAAAATGCATTTTCTTAAAATTGAAATGGACATTAATCAGAAGAAAATAGTTACACTGCAAAAATCAATTCAAGATTTCGATGGACATGGTTCTTATAAAGAATGCAGTAATTTATTGGAAAAAATTGAAAATCTTCAAGATCGATGGGAAGCTGTTGGACAAATTATGGAAGTGCAGAGTCAAAGGGTATTTTATTTATTTTTTTTTTAGAAATATATTGAATATTGTGCAATTTTTATTTATTTATTCTTTGTACGTCAAATTACAGATTTCAAATTCTGGATTCGAGTTTGATTTGACGACAAACACTCAAGGAAATGTGACAACCGGAAATGACTGGATGTCAGAAACTGTGACAAGTATCGCTTATAAAGAAGAACTCGCTGAAGGGGTTCGTTTTTTTAAAAATCTTATTTTAAAAAAATATTTATAAAATAAATTTTTTTTTTATTAAATAATAGAAAAAAGAAATAACGAAATGTTTTCTATTTTAGATGCACAGCGATTCCAAGAAACGTCGAATTGATAATGCAACAAGACACGAATTTGAATTATTGTTGCAAAATTTATACAAATGGTTAGATTACGTCGATTTAGAAGTTGGACGTTCAGAGGGTGTATTTGATGAATTGAGTGTTGAAGAGAAAAAAGCAATTTATGAAGAGAAATTTACAGATTTGCAATCCCATCAAAGTGAATACGACAAAGCTCTTGAGATTGGAAAAAAACTTCTTCAAGAAATCAATGAAATTAATGAGCCAATAGAAGACGAAGATTTAAAACTCAGGGATCTTGAAAATCGTTGGAAAGCTGTCAACACAAGGCTACAAACAATTAAGGATAAAGTTGATTTGTTATTAGAGGTGAAACAATTTCAAACAGATTTAGCCAGTGTACAATTATTGCTTGATGGCTATATGAAATGGTTTGATGCGAATCAGAAGAGCAATCAAATAGAACTTTTCAGAGTAAGTTATTAGTTTTCCATTTGTGGTTATTTACAAAATGGTTCAAAATTAAATAGTTAAATATCAATTAAATAATCATTAATTCTTTCAGGTAAAAGTAAAATCAATGAAATCATATGAGGATCGTGTTCAAAAATTAATTGCTAAAGCTAAAAAATTAAGCACTACACAATTATCATCTGAAGATAGTGAAAAATTACAATTCAGTGTTGATAAATTTAATAATGAATGGGACGATTTATTAAAAAAGTAAGTTATATAATTTATTAATTAATTTATTATTAAAATTCCAATTAAATGTTCAAAGTTATATGTGAATTTTTAAAATTTTCAGATTTTCCAATCGTTTAAATGAATTAAACGAAGTTGTCGATAAAACACCCCCCAAGAAATACAATGAAACAATTGCCAATTTGTTATCTTTTATTAACAATTTAGAAGGAGTATTATTATCTGAACACGCTGTAATGTCGGACGATGTAACAATGCAGGATCAAATGAAAAAATTGCTGGATCTTCAGGCTTCGCTGAAAACACATCAAATAAACTTCGATTATGTCAATAGCATTGGCCAAGAATTGATTTTAAAACAGGATTCTCAATGTCAAAAAGTAAAAGAAGAATTGCAAGATTTAAACACTAAATGGAGTGACATTCCTATTATTTTAGAAGAGAGACAACAAAAGCTTGCAAAAGGTTATTGATTTTTTTTCAATTTTGAATTCATTGTTAGTTTTATCTTCAACATAGATATAACAATATTTTTATCGGAAAAGAATATTAAATAATTAATTTAATTTTTTTTTGCAGATATTGAAACAGTAAAATTATTCAATATTGAACTTAAAGATCTTGAAAATTGGTTGAATAATAAAGCGCGGCGTTTAAAAGAAATATGCGAAGACGCATTTGTTAATGATGTCGCTACAACTGAATTGAAATTAAACGAAGGTCGTGCCTTTTCTGAAGAAGTTAATCAAACTGAACCGAGAATAGAAAAACTTCAAACAACTGCCAATAGACTTCTGGAAAATTCCGAACCTAATTTCGCAAGTGTATTAAATAATCAGTTGCAAAATATTTCACATAAATGGAATGCAATTATAGATGGTGCAAAACATCAGGTGTTTAAATATGAAAATGCTTTGAAGAAAAATGATGAGGTGAGAAAAATATTGTAACAAATAATAATTTAAGTTTTTGTCAATTTGTTAATGTGAATTTTTTTTTTCTAATCTAGATTATAAATGGAATTGAAGATTTTACAAATTGGTTATCAAGTTTAGAAAAGGAAATACCGAGTGAAGGAAAAATAACTTCTTCCGTTGAACTTTTTCAAGCGCGTGGTCGATATCAATTGTTAAAAGATAAAATTGACAGACGAGTAGAAGAGTTTCGTAATCTCAATGAGCTTGGCAATGACAAACTTCTAAGTTCCGAGGGTTCATCCGTCCATGAGTTGGGAAGGCGATTCACGTATTTAAATGCGAGATGGACTGATGTTACGGATCGTATTTATGAACGTTATAGACAGTTGCAGAATGCTAGTCATGAATACGGAGAGTTTCGAGCATTAGTTGCCCAGGAAAGCGATTGGTTAGATAAACTTGAAAAGAGATTAAAAAAATCAACAAAAAGCGCCGATGCTGAGGAAATATCCGAAGAACTTGATGTAAGATAATTTGAAATAAAATTCAATTATTAAAAGAAAAAATTGAATATATTTCGAGTATTTTGTTTAATGTTTCAGGATTTGGAGAATTATATTCGAAATCATCCGGATTCGCGCTTTGATAAGCTGCAAGAAATTGGAAAGCAACTTGTTGATAGCGATATAATGACGCGTACTATTCAAAATGATGTTGAGTCATTAACAAGTCGCTGGAGTAGTTTAAATAAACAGGTCTTTTTTTCACGATTTAAAATTAATTTCTTTTGTTTTACAATAAAATAGTGTGAAATATTTAATTGTTTCATTATGAAATAGGCTGGCGAACGCACCCAACAATTGGAAGGATCAGTGAAGCAAGCACAACAATCAGAAGGGCGTATTCAAGCTCTTCAACACTCCTTAACGCAAGTAGACTCTGTACTTACTGCACGTCTTGACTGTGACCTGACGGCTGATGACTTACCTCATGACTACCAGGTTTTTAAAATTTTTATACATCATTTATCTTTGATAAATAAAGAAAAAATAAAATTGAAAAATTTGTTTCTGTTATTTTAGAAACTAATGGACGAAATGGAAAGTCAGGAGTCAACTCTCCAGGAAATGGCCAATCAAATTGAAGCTTATAAAGCAACGGGGAAACTCGAGGCTGCTTCACGACTTCAGGAACAAATGATTTTAATTGAACAGAAATTTTCTGAAGTACAAAGGAAATTCCAACGATTCCGTAGTCCAATTAATTTAGAACCAAGATTGTCGAGAGCATTGAGAGAACTTAGAGGTATTGAGGAGGCTACTTGTTTATTGGAACTAGCTTCTGAAGATCCCGAAGCTATTGAAGGTCAACTGAAGCATTGTTTGGTAAGAATTTTTTTCATTAATTTGTTTAAAAGTTTCAAAAAAAAAAAATGATTTGTTTGTATTTTACTTTAAATTGAAACATTTTATTTTTCTTTAGCGTTTCTATCAGACATTGAGTGAAATTAAAAGTGAAATAGAAACGATAATTGTAACCGGTAGAAGATTAGCTGAAGAAAAAAGCGTCCCTGCTCCGGATGAATTGACAAATCGTATAGACACTCTTAAAGATTTATACAACAAGGTAAATGGATGAAATTCTTATAAAATTTAATTAATTAAAAATTATACAATATAACAATTTTTCAAAATTATTAATTTTTTTTCCAATTTTTTAATATTTATTATTTTTTTTTAACTTTTTAAATAATATTTCTTTTAATCGCAGTTGGGACTACACATAACGGAAAGCAAATCTATTTTGGAATCAGCTCTAGATTTGTCTCGAGAAATGTTCAAACACATGTCATACATTAACATGTCAATCGAGAGTATAAATAAGGAATTGGATAATCAGAAAACTATGCCTGATTTACCTGTTAATGCTATTTACGTAACGGTAACTAGAAAAAATTTTTTTGTTTTATAAATATAATGTAAATTACTTGATGGTTTAATGTTAAAAAATAATTGTGTTTTAAATTAATTTCTTAGGAAACTTTGATGGAAGTAATTCCACGTCTTCACGTTGTCAGAGACAAGTTATTTAGGTCCCAAGATGAATTTTCAAAATTATGTGATCCATCGTATATGGAACAGTTTAGAGAAAGATTGACAGATCTCGTCAAACGATTGGCAAGCACTGAAAAAAGATTACGAACTTGTTGTGGATCAGAGGTACATTGAGTAATACAGATAATAATTTAAATCAATTTTTAATTAAGTAGTTACAATAAATAAATTAATAATAATAAAATAATTAACTTTATATTAATTTGGAATAAATATTTTTTCAGGAGCCCAATGTTGACGAAATTAATGCTTGGTTATTCCAAATCGAAGACAAGCTGAAGAAACTTGATAATATTCCATTGGAACAACTCAATGAATCTCACTTTGAACAATGCAAGGTAATTATTTTTGATATAAATAAATTTGAAATTTGAAATCTCCATTTAAGATTTGATTTTTATTAAATTATTTTGTATTTTATTTTTTCAGTCATTACAAAATGAAATGGTGGAAACAAAATCCAAAGTCATACAACTTCAACGTTACTGTTTTTATCCAAAAGTAGCAGCAGTTTGCGAAAAATGGGAAGACATCTCGAGAAAAATTCAAGTAAGTACAAATTATAATAAATTTAATAATTTCAAAATCTTTATTTTATACAAAACTGATGTTTTTCATGTTTAATTTCTTTGCTTATTCCTTTGTGTTTGCTTTTTCATAATTGTTATTTGCTTGCTTTATAACAAATTGGTATGTGAAATATTTTTGTGCTTTAAATATTATTATTATCGCACACATGTCCATTAAATTAAAAATTGATTCTTTGTTTTTGTTTTAATGAAAAGAGTGTTAAAACCAATAACAATGTTATTATCGCCAATTTTTTTAAAATTGTTTAAAAACTATTTGTTTCATTACAAAAAAATATGCTTGATTTATGAAAATGTGCTTTAATTATGAAAAAAAAATGCTTTTTGATTTAGTTGTCAACTTTGCTTTGGCTTTTTCAAAAATATCATTACTCTAAACACACTGACAATCATTGAAAAATTACCTCTGTATTTCACAATTCAAGTAAATCATTTTATAAACCAAGTATTTTAAATCGAATGTCATATCGTATTTTGCTAATTAGGTAATTTTATTCAAAAAAAAAAATTATTGCTCTTTAAGAGATGAATGATTTAAATGATTATTTAGTAACATTGCTTTTTGATGTTATCATTCTTTGCAAATAATCAATAATCGGCAAATGAATAAATAAATATGTTAGAAATATAATTAATATACAAAATATAAAGCTCATAATATAGTAGGTACATGCTAAGTATAATTAATAATATTAATTTATCTACGTAATTTAATAATAATTTAATGACAATTATTATTATGAAATATAAATACATATATTTAAATAAAAATTTTAAATATAACGCGAATAATATTATCCAAGAGGTGTTGTCTGCTTGTGGTTAAAATTATTTTTATACAATTGCACCTTTATGTAATTATATTGTCAGCACGTGATTTGTCGCAAGGTTTGGTGAACTGGACCGAATGAATATAGCGCACAACACCAACACAAAGTGCAATAATGTCTCTCCCCTTTTGAACTGTTTATACTTTTTAAATGGATGACCCTAAATAAAATGAATTATCCTGACAATTAATGGAAAATAAAATAAAAACAAGATTTGCATTGGTGTCGGATGAAGAACACAAATAATTTGTTTCGTTCGCACTGTGAAATGCATAGTTAATTTCTTCTTGGTCTGGTTTTCTTTTATCATTATCCTCATTAACCTGCTATTCCATCTAACAGTGCATTATGAAATTTGCCAAAAAAAAGCTTAACTTTTTCTTTTCTTTTTTTTTTTTTATTGAAAAAAATTGCCGTTATAAATCATGATTTTCACAGGAATGGATCAACAAGATCAGTGATAATTTGTTAATTGAAAAAAATAAGATGATCAATTCTGAGGGGAGAGACATGAATGCTAAAGAAGAATTACAATGTGAGAATAAATTGATTGATGAAAATGAAAAAATTTACGGTATTGGATATCTTAATCCTGTTTTTGATTACAATCAACAACAAAAACTAATTAAAACACCTGAAAGTTCGCCAATTGATGTTCCACATCGAAGTAGAAAATCAACATCGGCTAAAGCGGATAAATTCAAAGGTGGAACGGTTATTGATGTGAGCCGAACAGTTAGACGAAGATTAGACATGAGTTCGATTCCCGATGTTGTGCAAACGTCACAATTACAAGCAAATCAATCCGATGAATCGTCCTCGGAATCATCAGAATCGGAAGGAAATCTTGTGGATGAAGAATTTTTCCTTGCAAAAAATAGTAAACTTTTTTCTCAAGTTTCGTCAAATACATTAAAAGCCAATGAGGGAAATAATAATGATTCAAGAGAACGAAATATTCAAATAAATTCTTTTCGAGTTGTTGAAATAAAAGAAATGGAAATAGTCAAATCAATTGCGTCTGCCAATGATCGTGTTATTTTACCATGTGCAAATGTTAGTGTTGAACAAGTTCCTCAAGTTGTTGAGAGAGTTGAAATTATTGAGGATACTGAAACTGAACCTGAATCGGCTGACACTGATGTTGATGAGAAGGAGAATTTAAAGAAAATTTCTGATAAGAAATATTATTCTTCATCGATGCATTTTCATACGAGAGAACTTGTGCCAATATTAAAAACTAATGAGAGAACGGAGTTTACCTCGAAACCTTCGACTTCTTTCGCTAAGGGATCAAAAGGTGTGACTGACAGAGATAACAAATCAAAAGCATTAAATACAACTGTAAAACAATCTGTTACTGAATATCTTGTATTTGAGGAAAATAAGATAACGATTCCATGCAATGGAACGAAAAAGAAAATTAGTGGAACTCCAAATGTAATGAAAGAAGTGAAATTTGAAAGAGATAATGACGATGCTGGAAGAACTCCATTTCCAAAACGAATTGGAAGTTTATCTTCTGACGATGTTATTGAGGATTGTGAAAGTTTTTATGGAAGTGACAAAGAGACGGATGATATTTTGATATTTTCCGATGATACCGAAGTTGATGTTAGAAGCTCTAGTTCGGAAGGAGAAAATACTAATTTAGATGAGCATATTGAACACCTCTTGGATAAGGTAATAAGAGAAGAGCTTTTTTTTTTTTGCTTTTGCGACTAAACATAATTGCTAAGATTAACAAAACAACGATGTTTCTATTAATTTCACATATTTTTGTGTTAACCATAAAGTCATTGACGCTTAAGAAAAATAATTAATTGTTTCTTCTTTTTTTTTATAAGATAAGGTTTTATTTTTGTAATTTAATTCTCTTTGCAGACTAATCTCGACAAGCTTCGTGATCCTTTATTAAATAAAGGAGACTCGAGGATTTTTGGAGAAAGAAGACTCCATAGATCGTCTAGTGGTTTGACGAGAGCGAATTTAGAAAGAGATATTCTTGATTTTGAACAACTTGCACAGCAAATGCTGCGTAGAATGGATATTATGTTAATGACAATTGGTGGAGTCAATAACGAAAAGGATCCATCAAAACGTCTTGAGGTTTGTGTTTTTAATTAATATTATTTAATTATTATTTAATTAATATTTAATAATATTTATTTTATGAAGTATTATTCTATTAATATTGCTCCATTAAATTTAAATTTTCGCGGTAAATTATTATTAGTTATTGATTTGACTCAATGAGTGTTTTGACTATTAAAGACTGACGTGAGTAGATAGAAGACGTAAGACAAAGGTTCCGCAATTTGCAGGTTTTATTACATTTATTTTATTTCGTTTTCGAAGATTGCTAAACGTAATTAGTACTTGTTTTTTTATTAGTATGAAGTAAATTCTATGCAAGCAATCGAAAAAGGAAAGGTAATAATAGAATTCGGCGTAAGGTTAGGTTTGTCGATTTTCAATTATTTAACAAAAGAATGTCAAATATTTCCATTAATTATTATTAGGAATGATTTGTTAAAAGTAATATTGTGTATTTTCTTTGTTTTTTTTTAATTTTTTCGAAAAAATTAGTTTCCGATAAATTTTTGTAATTGCGCATGCGCGAAATTATTGATTTGACTCACTGAGTACTTCGACTTGTTCGTCGATGTGAAGCATCTATCCGCAAGGTTCCGGCATATATTACATTAATCTAGCATAAAAAATGTTTGATTTTATTTCAGAAGATGGATAATCGTAATCAGTAAGTATTTTTTTACATGAAATGAATAAGTTTTGTAGGAAAAAACTTTATATAATCTATGAGATGATAAAAATTGTTAGAAGTAAATTTTTTTGGTTAGGTTAGCCAACTTTACAATATTTTCATTATTTATCTGAATATTGTAATCCATTATGATGTTTAATGCATTTTTATTCTCTTTTTGTTAAAATTGACATAATAATTAATAGTGAGAATAATTTTTTTTTTGCATTTTAATTCTAAACATATGCGCATGCGCAGAACATTGATTGATTTGACTCATTGGGTGCTTTTACATTTTCAACGATCATTGTCGATGTAACGTTTATATCCTCAAGATTCCGGATTTTATCACATTAATTTTGCATAAAAAATGTTTGATTTTATTTCAAAAAGTTGATAATCGTAATCAGTAAGTACTTTTTTACATGAAATGAATAAGTTTCGTAGGAAAAAACTTTATATAATCTATGAGATGATAAAAATTGTTAGAAGTAAATTTTTTTGGTTAGGTTAGCCAACTTTACAATATTTTCATTATTTATCTGAATATTGTAATCCATTATGATGTTTAATGCATTTTTATTCTCTTTTTGTTAAAATTGACATAATAATTAATAGTGAGAATAATTTTTTTTTTGCATTTTAATTCTAAACATATGCGCATGCGCAGAACATTGATTGATTTGACTCATTGGGTGCTTTTACATTTTCAACGATCATTGTCGATGTAACGTTTATATCCTCAAGATTCCGGATTTTATCACATTAATTTTGCATAAAAAATGTTTGATTTTATTTCAAAAGGTTGATAATCGTAATCAGTAAGTACTTTTTTACATGAAATGAATAAGTTTCGTAGGAAAAAACTTTATATAATCTATGAGATGATAAAAATTGCTAGAAGTAAATTTTTTTGGTTAGGTTAGCCAACTTTACAATATTTCCATTATTTATCTGAATATTGTAATCCATTATGATGTTTAATGCATTTTTATTCTCTTTTTTGTCAAAATTGGTATAATAATTAATAGTAAAAATAATTTTTTTTTGCATTTTAATTCTAAACATCTGCGCATGCGCAACATCATTTATTTGATTCATTGAGTACTTCCGACCAGTTTAATGCAATGCATTATCCCGCTAATTTTGGGAAATTTCAGTATTTTATCACACTGTATTTTCATTAGTGAGGTGTTCTATTTTCTTTCCAAATATTAATAATCGTAATTAGAATGTATTTTTTTAACTAAAAGTGTGAAAAGTTTACATCAAAAATCGTAAGTTATAGACGTAATTATAGAAGTTGTTAATAATTAATTTTGTTAGGTTAGGTTTTCTAATCTTTTTGGTTTTTTATTTAACGTGATGAAAATTTTCCTATTAACTTTTATAGCAAACATTTTTAGGGTTATAAATTCTTAACACCTACGCAAGCACAATACGCAGTTAATTATCGTGTTTTTTTTTACTATTGTTTCCGATATCAAAAAAATGGCATTAATTGATGATGAATAATTTCATTGAAAACAAATCGTTTTTTGCCAAATTATTTATTAACAATTTTGATAATTGAAAATAAATTAAAATAAATAAATATTAAAATTAAAAATATATTCTCTTTGATAGTAATTGTTATTAATTTTCTTTTGAAAAGATAAATATTTTAGCAACTATTTTTTTGAGATAATTTTTTTAAAAATCAATCTCAAATATTATGTTCTAGTTGATTAAGAGTGAACTCAGTTGTCTTGCACCGGATGCAGCAAGTCTTATTAGTCGTGGCGATGGATTGGTAATGACTGTTCATGTTTCTGATCCTGTGAGAGCTGAAAAAATAAAAAATGAACATCAAGATAAATTACGAAGTAAATGGCATCAAGTTATGGCAGAAACTGAATCAAGAAGAATTCAAGCACAAAAAGCGGAAGAATCGTTACGTCTTTACAATAAATTAATCGCCGAATTTGAAGATTGGTTTAGAGATGCTCCATTGAAATTGGAACAAGCCAACAACTATGAAGGTCAATTGGAATCTTTTACCGAAGAATTCGACGCTAGACAAGAACAAATTCAAAAATTGAATGATCTGAGCAATGATTTGAAACGATTAAATGTGGGTCATTCCGAAAATATGCGCTATAGAATCAATAGCAAGTGGCAAGAAATCAGTACTCAATTTAAGAGATTCAGTGGTAGCAAAGATAAAGATAAAAAAGTCAACGATAAAAAAGTTGAAATGGTAAGATTACATTAATTTATTTGATTAAATTGATAAATTTACATATAATTAATACTTTAATTTAGATTTGTTATTGTATTGTAAAATTTCTCTTAATTTTCAGGATGTTGGTAGAATTTCAAGTCAAGATTATTTGACAAGATGTAATAAACTTCGAGAAGCTGTGTCAACAATATCGAGATCTTTGAGTGCAATGCCATTGAGTGGGAAAGATTATGAATTGTTTGCCAATCAAGAGGAATGCTTGAAAAAAATTGGTAATGCACTAAATATACTGAAACCAAGCGTCGACGAAATGAGTTATCTTCAAGAAAGTATTGAACCACATGCAAGAAAAGATGATCAAATTAAACGTCTATCGGATAAATTAAAAGACGAATGGTTAGATGTAAATAGAAATTACATGGAAAGAAATAAACGTTGGATTAAGTGTATTGAAAAATGGAAAGAGTTACAAAATATTTGTTGTAAATTTGCCGAGTGCCTTGCAAAAACTGAAGAGATGTTGAAAAAATTGAAATCCGAACCATTTTCGGAAGGTAGCAAAGTTGTTGCCATAGATCTTGAGAAGGAAGTGATCAAAATGCAAAAAACAATGAATAACATTGCAAGTTCGACGACTGAAATTGTTAGCCGATCAACGGGAGAAGATGTCAAAGAACTGGAAAACATGGTTGACGAGTTACAGAATCGATGGCAGAAACTGGTTAATGAATTGAAAAATTATCGAGAAACGTAAGTTCATTTTATTTATTTTTTTTAATAATAATCGTACACATTTTCTAAACCTTAATAATCATAAAATTTTAATAATTATAATAGTAATTTCATTCACTAGTAAAAAAAAATAAAAACATAACTGTAACCTGATTTATATGTACTGTAAAAGTACGTTAAGCGTATTATAGAGACAATATTATCAGGAAGCCGGGATTCTCTCCATAGATCTATTTCAGTCGTAGTTTAGCTTTCGTGCTGTGGTGAACGTAATCTGCACAATTTTAATTACACAAAAAAAAAAACAAAATGAAAATATAATAGAATTAGTAAAGTGAAATAAAAAAAGTAAATTTATTTTCAGATATTTTTCAATAATTTGATGAAAAAATATTGTTTATCAAATGAAACTAAAATAATTTTATTTTAAATTTAGAAAATATGATTAAATTATAATTTTTATATTGATTGAAGTTGATTTTATCTGTTTTAGGGATTTCAGTATGGAGGGGAAAATTAATATTGAAAAATCCCTTGAAGGAGCACGCAACATAATTGAACATGTAAATTCCTTACTTGTTTCGACTGCTAATCCATCAGATGATACATCCTTATCGATAAGATTGTCAATGATTAAGGTAAGTGACAAATAAACAAACAAATGAAGAATTGTGTTCTTTTCTAATAATAACTCTTTGAGTTTCCTGACTCTCTGCAAAGTGAAATGTGCCAAGACGAAAATAGCTTTGAACTTGTATTTTCGCCTAGTATCGACTTACCACCACGTCTACTAACAATGCAGAATATGACATGGAAATATTTTTCAAAAATTTCATTCCTTAATTTCTTTTTTCAATTTTATTTTGTATTTTTTTCTAGTAGTAGAAAAATTAGATTTCATTTAATAATAATATACAATAAAAATATATAATTATGTTTAAAAAAATTCATAAATAGAAATATTTTTTAATAATAAAAATTTGTTTAACAATTAGGCAAGAGAGGAGGAAATAATCAGTCGCAGAAAAGAATTGCATGCCATCAAAAAACAACGGAATGTTACCAAACAGGATGAAGAATGTAACAAATTGATTGCCGATATTGAAAAGGTTCGTTTATTCGGAAATTGTTTGACATGTGAAGCGTTTGAAATTGAATTTGCTATTGAAATATGACTGCAATTTTTTTTTTTTTTGAAAATGATACGTTTCACTAATATGTTCTTAATTATTTCCAGGTTCAATCAAATTTGGCTACACACCGCGAATACGTGGAAAATAAATTGACCTCATTAAAAAAATATCTTTTAACTTTGGACACTGTTATGACGTGGGTCATGGAAACAAGAACAAGGCTCAATATTTCTCATGAATTACCACAACAAGAGCGTTTAAAAGTCATTGATAATATAAAGGTAATTTCACTGTATTTTAAAATTAAATTACAAATTTAGTATTAAAAGGGTATTAATAATTTATTAAAAAAAAAGGAAATTAATTTGGATATAATTTTTTATTTGATTCAGGTTGATAGTTAATAAATTATTAATTCCAAATTAATTATAGAAGCATAAAAGCCGAGAGGCATAAATAGAGAGATAAATTATAATATTAATATGTTAATTTCAATAATGTTTCAGGCAAATGTCGAGGATCGTGAAATGGAAGTCAAAGATGTTTTAGAAAACTACACAAATTTGGAAAAAGAATGTGAATCTGCAAAGCAATCTGTATCTGTCGAATTACAGGTTAGTAATGAGAAATAAATATAAATAATAATTATTATTAAATATTAATTTAATTTTTAAAAAATTGGAATTTTCTATTTTAAATTAATATTCACTTGAAGATTGTTTGTTGCTCTTTCTAATGAGTTTAATGAAAATTTTCAGGAGAAATTGAAGAAATTGAGAGTCGACTGGCAATTTGTCAAAAATCGTGGGGAAGTGACAGACGTTGATGCCATTGCAGTTGCTCCACCTGTTGAGACCGCTCGTCCAAAAGGTAGGATCTTATAATCAAATATATTATATATTCATTTTATTAACAAATTTTAATAGCTTGTTATTGTTCTGTTTGAAAATCAAACAGAAAATCAATATTATCCAAAATGATAGGTTAAATTTTAGTTTCCTCCTATTTACTCGATATATATATATATATAATCTATCTGATATCGACTGCATTCACAAAAGCAAACATGCAAAATAGATACGTGATATGCAATCTGTATCATATACAATATTATAAATGCAATATTTGGCTCATCAAATTGGATTAGTTATGAGCGAGAGAGATGAATAAATCGAATTTCAAATTTTCCCAAGATTTAAATAAAGCCTTCCCATATAAAATAGTTGAAATTTAATTTAAAAATTATTAATTATTTTAAAAAAATTAATTAATTTTTTTTAAAATTTTATTATTTATTAAATTGCATCAAAATTTCCAGTGATTTCATGATTAAAATATATTATTTATTTTAGTTTGTACTTTATATATATATATAATATTAATGAATAGGAAAATTTTAGTCCATTGAATTTATTATGGTATTAAATCGAAATTGGTCGTTGCCGTGTATCCAGAGAATGAGTTAGGTGCAAAATCGTGTTTACGATTTCTAGTTGTTGAAATATAGAGTATTCTCTTTCCGAAATTCAATCTGTTTGGCTATTTTTCTCTCGACTCGAATTTTAGTAGAATTCACTAGGGTCATAAATACATTGTTTCCATTCATCTCGCGACATCTAACAGTTCTGCAATATCGAACCTGATAGTTAAAGAGACATTGTGTGCGCCATTGTTTTCTATTCAGTTAATTTTTTTTCCCATTCTATCTTTTTCCATTTCAACTTTTTCCATTTCTGTACATCGAAAGAATAGAAATATGTATCTTTTTTTTTCATACGTACGATACTAAAAGTTTCTTCTTCTTCTTTATTACAAAGACGAATAGAAAATGACAATTTTCTCTATTGATTTATTGGTAAATTAAAAATAAGATAATTTGGTGTAATAGTAATAGTTTTATATTTAATTATTTATATTTATTTTGTTTTAAATTAATTCAATAAATGAAATTGCTAAATTCTTAAAATGGAATAAACTTGCGAGAATTTCTTAATTTAATTAAAATGGAAGAGGAAGGAATTTTAATATAGTTTTATTGATCGTTGATGCTGACCTTTTGTTACCTTTTCTTTGCAAAGAGTTTTAAATAGTTGATCGATTTTAAAGTTATTTATACAGACAACTGTCGATTGCGTTTCGTCTTTTAATTTTCCATTCCAAGTTGAGTTGTAAATGGTAACAAGTACAAAGGTAGAGTATATAAACTGTCGAACAAGCTAATGACGAATTCATGGAACTTTGTGCTTTGAAAGGGTTGAATAAGATTCCTAAGGGAGATATACAAGAACTATATTAATTACTCAAGAATAAAGGTATAGAGGAAACAAGTTAAAATTCTTTAATTATATTAATATTCACTTTTAAATCTTGAGTTAAGAAGCGAAGTGAATAAATAGACTTGGAATAATTTTAAAATCGAAAAAAGTAACTAATTATAATAGACATAAAAATTGAGAAGATCAAAGATATAGAAAAAAAATTAACGAGATCAAAGTTACGGATTTTAAGAGATCAAAAGTATAAAAATTGAAAGTTAATGGATTTAAAAATTAAGAGTGTATTGAATAGAAAAAAAATTTTTTTTTTATAGGAAGTTTTTGTGAGTGAAATGATATAAAATGAAATATCGAGATAATTAGTTCTCAATTTAGTTTGTGCAGAGTTGCAATTTACGACTTTAATTAACGTGAAAGTAAAATAATTAACAGTGAAACATAAATACATAATAAATTAGAAGGTATCTAGTTTGAAGGTAGTTTTAGTATATAACGCAAGTGCGTTTCGCCTAGAGGGTTTCAGATCTGCAATTCGCGTCCCTTTGTGGTTACTGAGCATTCTAAACTTTCACCCCCCTCTTGTCCTGTTTAAGCTTTTAGCGAAGTTTGATTCTCATAGAATGTAGAGGATGTAATATTACTTGAACAGACGGAAATGAGAAAGCATAAGGTAGAAACTTAAACCACTTTCTACTTGATCAGCAAGACTATTATAGGAAATTGCCTACATTAAATTGGTTATTACCCCCTTTTTTTTAAATAATTTTTTTCACTGATTAAAAATTTTTTTTTGGAATTTCATTTAAAAATTTTAAATATGAAATATTAATCTCTACATTAGGTTGTGTCAGTTTTATAAGTAGACTAAAAATATGTATCTTGTGAAGGTTGTAAATTAGCAAAAAATAGAAGCGGATAAAATCTGAGTATATTTTATAGCTCCCAAAGGGTTTGAGTAAATCAGCCTTCAGTTTGTCATGTCTACCCCATATCTCTCCCTCTCTCTTTTCCTCTCTTGTATATAAAACCAACCCCAACAAAATTCATCCTTTGGTGAAATTTCACTGACGTTCGATCAGTCGTCAAATGGGTAGTATTTCATTTCGATATCGTACGGTTTCAATGGCCAAAAGAGGAAAGTAAACAGAAATTTCTAGCGCGCATATATAGAGAGTGAGCGGAAAAGTAACTAAATTTAACGTCCAACCATGTCATTATGTGTACTTTATTTATTTTTTTTTACCTCGATTTTTAATTAAAAAAATTCAATTCAAAATCCATTATTTTTTCCTCCTTTTAGCTTTAATAAAATTAAAAGAAATTGAATTATTTGAATTCTTCTTTGTGTAATTTTTGCTCTATTTTTCGTTATAGTTAGGAACAATTGTGATTTAAAATATTTTCCAGTCACATTATATTAATGTATTCTCGGCAAGTTTTTGGTGTGAAAACAGAATTCTGCGTTTCATAAACTTACACGGTAGTTATGCAAGGAAGCAGACGGATTAGCGAAAGGGATTTCGTTGCTTCTAGGTATAAAGCGATCTTGGTGTAGAGCTTTGATATGTTAAGCTTACCTGGAGGCAATGGGTATTATCCTAGAGAGGCATTTACTAAAATGATTAATTTTTTATACACGGTAATTTATACAGAATTTAGATTTTTATTACATTGCATTTTATAAAAGTTTTTTGTTGAAATTTTTTTTTTAAATTTTATTAACCTGTGAAAGTATTTCTACTTTTTAGACTATTAAAATCATGCAGTAAATTATTAAGTTAAATATTATAAATAGAAAATTTAGAATATTAGAAACAGCTAGGGAAATATAGTTTTCGTGTTTATAATTTTTAATTACACATCTTATATTGAAAAAATAATCCGAGAATTGTGCAATTCTATTTCTGGAAAACGAAATTAAATTTTTCTGACAGGCGTGACCTAGGGATTCGTATTTTAGTCTCTGAGGGTTAGTGAATGGCAGTGAGTGTTCTATCGAGGAACATGTGTGAGTTATACTGTGAAAGTACAGGATGGGAATTTTTTTTTTCTTTTTTTTTACGAAGCGACTGGTGATGACATCCGTTCCAGGCAGCTGACCCCCATTATTTCGCGTACCATCTCTTCTCTATTAAAATTTTCTCATTCTAGGATTGTGTAACTTTTGTTGTTTACTGCGAGACATATCTAAGCTTATTTCATAAAGCTTTTTTTTTTTTGTTTCACATTAATTGATCAAAAATATTGTCTTTTATTATCCAGGGGTGTTTAACAAAAAAATTCACAATTCTCAATAATCATAGTTCTTTGTTTTGATTTTCAATATATTTTTGAAATTTATAGAACAATGTCATTAGACTTGTGAATGAAATGAGTTTGCAATGTTTGTTGGAATTTCCGAATTTCAGGAACTGGCATTCATGGTTTTGTACATTTCAAAGCAGAGGGTATATTACATCCCAGGGTTTTGCGTTCAAAAGTCGACGTAGAATTTGTGTGCTTGGTTTATAGAGTGGTTTTCGTTACGCGGACGTGTTGAAGGGCGAAGGAAGAATTTTGAAAGGGATTAGTAGTAGGAGGACGAGGTTGTAGATAAAAGTGAACGTATGGGGAGGTTTTGTGAAATGAGTTGTTGAAGTAGTAAACTTCAAATCTATACACACACACACACGAGTCACGTGTTTATTATTACTCACGTGCCAAAATACTTTTTAGAGAATTTTTTTTTCTTTCAAATTTTGCAAAAAAAATTAAATTAACGAAAAAAATTAAGTTTTTAAAAAATTTTTTTTTTTAAATGTGAGTTTTTTGAGAAAATGAAAATTTTATAAAGAATATTTTTGAGAGGGAAATTTCTTTTTGAAACATTTTGAAAAGTTCTCCACTATATCTTTTGTGGGGGAAATTATTTAGGTAAATTTTATTCATCTCTTATTCCTCAAGTTTTTAAGAAGCTTATCTTTTGACGCGTGGACGAAATGAAATTTCTTTAGGAAGAAAATTATGCCTTCAGGTTTTACTCGGGCAACTATATTTAGTCTTGAGGCGAAATGTTTTGAATACTTGGATGCTCTGTTTCAAAAGGCTCATTCCTCGTCCTTTTCACTCAAATACGAAACCGTCTCTTTATAATATTTCTAGTATGGTATATAAGATAATAAAGCAACGTCTCGAGTTGCATCTTTATAGTATTAATCTTAGAATTTAACGTTTATCCATGAAAAGTTCATATTAATGAAGAAAATAAATTTTTTTTGTAAAATTCCACTTTTTTTCTAAGCAAAAAAGGCGACGTCTAAACATTGCATTAAATTCCAAGTTTTATCTTGTTAAATTCAATTGATCGAGTGAGAGTATAATTGTATATTGTCAAATCCAATTATTCAGTACAGTTAACACAGCTATTAAGATTTACTCCTTTAAGAGGATTTACTCGAAATTTCAATTGTATTAGCGAGAATTCTAGGGACATGTGAACTCAATTCGCTAAAATTGGATAAAATCTTTAGCCATTTCTGTCTTTCTCTTTCATAGTTTTTGAAATTTTATTTTTATTGTTTGTTATTACAATTTACTTGGGAATTAAACAATATTAAAAAAAAGAAAATTGGAAAAAGTTGAAATAAATTGTTATCCTTTTGCCTGATTGAATTCTCCATTTTTCTCTGAACTTCATTTTAAACAATAATTTAATCCTCCATAAAAAATAATCGAAAAGTAAAACAAGTAAGTTGAGAATTCCGTAAATCAAATACAGATGTAGTATAAAATCACGAGAAACTGAAGTTGAAATGTGATTCTCGTCCTCCATTTCTCTTCTATATAGAAAAGGATAATATTTTAATTATTTCTTTGTGAAGAATATTTTACTAGTTTTATTATAATACCTTTTCTAAAAAAAAAAAACAGAAAGAAATTTTTCAATTTTTTTTTTTCAAATTTTTCACTTCCTGAGAATTGTTTCTCTTATTTATTTTGATTTTCTGTTTCTTCTTGTTTTCTGATGTGGAACGGAATACAAAGTCGTTCTTGAATTCAATCACTATAGTTCTCTCTTGGTGATCGATGTTTCTCTTTATAGTCAGTAGTATAGTAGTTTGTCTCAGTCAATATCCGGTTTTACCGATTTCTTGATATCAAGTGACATAATTTTCACAAACTTATTCTCAAAAAAAAATGTGTTTATAAACTATTTAAAAAAAATATATAATTTCCTGCTTTTTTTTAAAATTAATTTCAATTTTCTTTTATACTTTGAAAGTAATTTTTTTTATACATTTGCGGTAATTTCTCCATAAAATTTTCAACTTGAAAAGCACTTTACGTTTAAACATTTCATATTTATGAAAGCTCACAGCTGTTCTGATTTATAACCTACATTATTTCCGCTTTCTCTTGAACCACTTCCTTCGGGTGTTATATTACTTCCTAATAGGAACTGTTGCTTCCAACTCTCGTATCTCTGATTCAGGAAAACGATCCCTATGCATTTGATGCGCTTTTGCCGAGAATAAATCGTCAATCAATTTTGTGGAAAATAATTTTGTTGTTTTAACCTAAATGTATTATATTTTTTATTCAAAAAAATATTGTTATGATAGAAAATTTATTAGAAATTTTGTCTAGATGAAATTGAAGATTATTTTTATTTATTTTATCTATATTGAGTTAGACGTTCTTTAAGCAAGTTACCTAAGGCAAAGTTTAGTCTGTGGTTTGAAGTATCTGTGGTCATGCTCGTTACTTCTCCGTAAATGGTCTAGGTGGACTGACCAAAGGTGCTCGTTTAGACCATGGAGGTAAAATGCTCCATTAAGACCTAACCCCACGGTATAGTTACTGTGTATGTTTCTAGGAAGCAAAAGCTGTCGGTTTAGTAATACCAACAAAATAGTACTTACAATGTTCTATAAGTCAACGGAGATTAGTTTCCATGCAACGTGTTGAAGTTAGATTACCATTTAAATCGTGAAGATAGACGCGTGTCTAAAATCCACAAATCGATGGGTTAGTGGAAAAAAGGACAAGTTGCGATTTTTTTTTTTTGTCAAAATGAAATTTTTTTTTAAATATATTTTATTGTATTTGATAAAGTTTCTATTTTTCCACAAATAAAGCGAAATATGATCAAATAACAGTAGTCGAAACATTCAAAAAAAAACTTCAGAGGGTTGTTAATTAAATATTTTTTCGAAAAACGAATTATCTAAATTTTAGTTGAGTCACTGCAAGAAAACTTTTTCTAAAAAAATATTATATTTGCTTTATTAGTTAGCAAAAAAAATTTCATTATTATTTAATTTTTCTATTTTTTTATAGATTTCTTTTTAATTTTTTTTATATCAATTCATATTGCTGAAAATTAATTACTTTTATAAAATTTAATTTACAAGAAATTCAATATATTAAAGTTTTTTCTAAGATTTTTTTTTTCGTATAAATTACCGTATTTATAATTAAAATAAATTCATTGAAATTTTGAGGTTTATAATTCCAATGCATGTGTAAAGTTTTTTCTTTTGTTTCAAATATTTCGTATATTGTGATAATTGATGAAAGAAATTCACGTTTGTAACGAATTTTTTTTTTTTCATATTTCATGTATATATAGGTAGACAAACAAAGTTTCCGGGTTATATTATAGAGAAAGAGGTCAGGTCGGGTGGACTGGGCAACTCAAATAATACGTAAGCATTCGTGAATGCCGAGTTTTGCTCTTAGCGAACAATAGTAAAGATTAATGGTCTACTGGCGAGGACAGAAGATCAACCATGGCACGCGATAGCGCATTTGCATAACTTCTCTTATATAGAGTAGTAATACCTAAAACTCTGCATAGCGTGCAAATAGTTTTCCAATTTCAGTAGTTTGGACACTGGAAATTCCATATAGGGAATAATTGAAAATTACCACATGGAATTATCATTTCTATAGAGTAAAAGTTCTATTTTTTAATTGCTTTGTTTCCACTTGTTTGCATATATTTTCTTTTTTATTTGTATAATTTTCAAACGTTGTATGTAATAAGAAAGATATTGGAAAGACTACTTGATTTATACTCGGAACACTTGGTCGTAGGGGTTGAATTTCACACCATTCGTATATAGTATAGCTATTAAACTTGAAGATTATTGAGAGAAGCGTGAAAAATCGATTACCAGTGAATTATTTTTTTTTTTTCTTTTCTTTTGTGGTTATTGAGAAACCAGACGCTCTTTCGTTGAGGTAATTTTCATGAAATTCGTTTGGAAAATTAGTTCCAGGTTCGATAAATTTTTAATGACAATAATATTATATTTGATGAGGGGGGAAAAAAATGTAATGACAATTTAATGAAAAATTCAGTCAAAATATAGAGAAAAATGATATTCTTAGAAATTTTTTTCCGCTTCAAAGGACATAATACATGTGGATTATAATTCCAATTAGATAGATTGATACTATATATATGAGAATTCCAAACAAAATAATAAAACAGGAAAAGCTCAATGTCTATCTCAACCACTGACAGGACTGTTGGGTAGAGGGGTAGAAGGCTTTAGTATATAGAATAAGCGTTATTGGATTGATCTCAATTTCGTTTGTTGGTGATAACATATCTAGCTGGTTTCACTCATGTAAAATTGCAATTAAGTGTTTGCACCACACTTTTCCCATATCTCGATCTATCAATCTATCGTTGAATTGAATTGAAAATTAAAATCCATTCTCCATTGGTGGACAGTGTTCGAAAAGTAATATTTTTATTGACAATGCGCAATGGATTATATAGATACAATAGACAAGGGAAAATTGTTTTCTGTTTTGATAAATGAAAAATTCTAGTTATAGATTTTTGCCAAGAAAAATAATAATTGTTGGAGATCAATTAATTGAAGTTGGAAATTTTGATATCGAAAAATTGGTAGCAATACTCAATTAAATTTCATTGTAATATTTACAATTTCACAGAAAATTAAAAGGCATTAAAATAAGCTGCAACGCTTCTTATTTTAATCCAATTTTGCTTATTTTTAATCCATTTTGGTATTAAAGTAAGCAAAATTGGATTAAAATAATAAGCGTTGCAGCTTATTTTAATGCCTTTTAATTTTCTGTGCTATATTGTATTTTCAGTATTTTTTGTAACATTTACAATCCGTATTGTAATATGTATTTGCAATTTTTTTTTCTGTTAGTGCAAAAAATTAATGATTTTTTTTATCTTATTTTCTCAGCACACTTTTCAAGAGTTTGCATTTTTCTGGAATAGATCGATTTTTCTTTTTTTTTTGTGTGATAAAGAATTAAAGTCGCGGGAAAGGTGGTCGAGAGCAAAAAAGGGGATCTACATTCCCTACTGTGCAAACGCTCATTTTCCCCAAGCTTTTTTTTTCTATCTTGAACAAACCATTTAAGGGCGTCTGAGAGACGAAACCTCAACGACACATGCCCGTGCTCGCTTATGGTGACGCGAAGAATAGGATATTGAAAAATCCCCGTCTTTCATTGAGATCCCCTCTTTTACCCCCCCTCCCCCTCTCCTCTTTTTCTTTCGCGAGAGGAATGAATTCACGAGGGTGAACGGGAGCGTCAGGTGCGCTTGGAGAATTTATTGTGGCGTGGCTTTGGACCTTTAGAGCTTTGTGAAGACTTGCTTCAAAATCTCTTACAATTGTTTCCTTTTTCGACTTTTCAAATTATCTACGATGCGAATATATATATATATATACGATCCTTTATCAAATAAAGGATTTAGGATCCTATCTGTCTTGAAAAAGTTATAAGGCTAGTGAATTTCTTTGAGAATTTATTGAGGGGGAAGAAAATTTAAGGGAAATGCATTTTATGTGATGATATGTGATCAAGAAGGTTATAAAAGGTTCCTTTAACATTTTCCTATTTATTTTCTTTAATAAATTTAAAAAAGGAGTTTTTTGATCTTATTAATAAGTTACATTTTTTTTCGATTTTGAAAATTCGCAAAATTTTTGTATTTTAGTGGCTGTTGTAAATTTAGTATAATAGGTTACTTGCGAGTAATAATCGTGGCTTCTTTTTTTTCATGTAGTAAACTGAACAAATGAAGTGGTGTTCACATTAATCTTCCGACACTTGCGGTTTAGGTGAAGTTTTTATTCTTGCGACTTTCTCTGGATTTTCTTGGATTCGTTGGCAGTCCGCGTTTACCTAAGAAAAAACGACTTTTCAGATGAGATTTAATGGTCTCAAGGAAGACCACGATTTCTCACCTTTTCTTTTTTTTTCTTCCACCTTCTGTTCGTTAACCATTTTATTACTCGCAGGTTTCTTATATAGAGAGTTCATGATGTGTTAAAAGTATATCCACTTCTTGACAAATAAAGTTACGAGAAAATATATGAAAATTTTCATATTGTTGAAAAAATACAAAAAAATTCATGTAATTTAGAAATATTCTTTTATAATTTTCCTTGATTTGGTTATTTTTTTAATCAAATTAAAATTAAAGTCTATATTGAATTAAGCGATTGAAGAAAATAATTTGTAATTAATAATTTAGGTTAATTAAATTATTAATGGTTAATCGTTTAACAAGTATAAGTACTGAAGTGAAAAATGGTACAAGAATAAAAGATGGCAATTAGAGATGTTTAAGGAGGCACAACAAAAGTAGAAAATAAGAACGTACTTTGCTTTTTAACGCTGTGTGCTTACTTATTAGGGAAAGCTTTGAAGTCCGCGCTTTGTGCTTTACTGAAAATTAATAATATTTTAACGATGTTGAAGTTATGTTGCGATAAAATTTGTAATATACGGCAAACATGCAATAAACTTAGAGTAAATATATACATATACATATAGTAAATAATTTTAAATGTTGATTTAAAAATATATTAAATTTTTCATAAAATTGTATTTTGTGTATTTAATTTTTTTTTTTTGCTTTCTTTTATAGTATAAAAAATTTTGAAATAATAATTTCAGTAAATTAAATTCTCTATAATTATTAGAATTAAAAATTATAAATAATTTTTTTTTATTTTACGTTATGTCTTTTTTTTATTGACAATCTGCATATGAATGTGCAATATTCCTTAGATATTTAAATCAGTTGTTTTCAGAAGCTACTTAATTATGTAATCACGATTCTCATACCATAAGAACATAACGTGGACAAGTGCCACGAATAGCTTTAGCAATTTGCTTAACATAAACTTGGGAATTATAGACTAAAAACTTGGGACTCTGAAACTTTGTTATTTTTGCAAATATTCTTGAAAAGTTTTTTCATTAAAAAAGGGCTCAGAGAATTTGTTTTCTACTTTTTTTTGTGTCATATAAGAAAAAATTTTGAAATTAAAATTATATAACTCGATAATGAAGGAAAATTATAAATTGAATGATTATTTAATGATAATTCTTAACATATTATTCATTATATGCTAACCGCGGTGGCAGTACTAATCGACTCTTGAGTACATACTCTACAGTGACCGCGATCACTTCCACTTGACAGTGAAGTAAATTGACCAGGAAACTACCCATTGAATGAATGAATGTTAAATAGAGGATCTAGAGATTTAGATTAATTGTCCAAACTCTGATGATTGGTTTGTGTAAATCATGATTGAGATTTGAGGGGTCGAATTTCAGAAATACCGCAAAACTTCAAATTGAGTCACGGAATAAAAATATAACGCGGTGCGAGAGAAAAAAAAAGAGATTTATGATAATCTTCTTTTTTTTATATATCCATTTTGTTCCCCTCCCCCCTCCATCCAGTGCGAAGATATATAAATTCACAGTAGTGTAATTCATTATATGGTCAGACAGATATAGTGGAAATGTAGTTTCTATATAGGAGATAGAAGAAATTATAATTTTTTGGTTACAATTTCCTTCTTTATTTCTCTCTAAATTTGAATTAGTAAAAATGTTTACTAATTTAAATTAGTCACTCATTTTTTTCTTTAGAATTAGTTACTAATTGTTAGTAAAAGTTATTAATAATTAGTAAAATTCTACTAATTTAGAAGCAAAAAGTGAGTCACTAATTTAAATTAGTTAAAATTTTCACTAATTCAGATTTAGAGAGTTTGTTTAGGTTTTTTTTTTCTATTTCAAAATTACCTTTTTTAAAAACTTTTCAAATTAAAAAAATCTCATGCTTTTTGTTTACAAATGAGAAAATTTAATTCATTTCGATTTTTTTTTTCCAAATAAAGTTTGTGAGAATTAGATTGTTTGAAATCAAAAAGCATATAAATTTATGTTTTTTTTGACTACCGCGTGGCACAAGTGTTTGTTGCCTGAAGGTTTTGGAAAAGAAACACACAGGAGACCAACGTCCCTTGTGGGGCTGCTGGCGTGACGTTATCTGAACTGGAGTAGAGCCAGTATACCAGTATTCAGGGATGTCGGTGACATTGACCGCGGAGTAAAGGGGGTTGTTGGATGGTAGGTCAGAGCGCTTGCGCTTCCTCTCCCTGTCTTTCTTTCTCAGTCTCCTTTCTCACTTACTCTTTCCCCTTGTGTTCCCGGATTTCTCGCAGCAAAGGGGCGAGGGGTAAAACAGTACACCCCCGGACTTGCACGGGGTACAATCTATCCAACCCTCGGGGATCGGAGGCTCCATTTCGCGCGAAATACGTTCATCGACTCAACATATCTGTCCTTGTATTCTATATACATATATATATACACACAACATATCTAAAATATATATCAACATTGACTGATAATTTTTCTTTGTTTCATCTCTTGTTTACATATCATTGGTGTTAACATATCGAGAATTTTACATATTTTAATCTTCTATTTCTCTCTTTTTTTCGTATTATTAAAAGTGCACGATCAGTGAAAGTTTTCTTTGTTGAAACAAAGTAAAAAGTTTTTTTCTATGTGGATATTTTTTTACTTCAATTAAAAAAATTGTGATATTCAACCGGCATATCTGGCAGACCTCGTGTCAGTCTCAAGTTCAATATATGGTGGAGTTTTTTCAGTCACATGCTGTTATTATGAATATTATTGTGTAAGTCGTTTTTATTTAAATAGATTAGTTTGTTTTATTTTTATTGATAATTACTTTTTTTTTGAACTATAGTATACAAATATTAGAGGTTATACACATTTTTTTTCATATTAAATTACCTTTTCATATTTAATATGTTTACATTTGTAATTAATATTCGTTATTATAATTAGGGTTACTTGAACTATTTCAAAATTTAATTATTTTTAATTTGTATGGTTTACAAAAAAAAAATTTTAATTTTGAAATTAGCAAAGCGGAAAATGGCAAACACTCTATTTTTTAATCAATTATTCATTTTGTTAGTATGAGATTAATATTTTGGTGTTGTTGAATTTATTTTATGAACATCTATAATGACTGAGAGTTAATTAAACTGACTTTGTTTGTGTTTGGTAAATTTTCATTAAAATTTTATATGATGCCTATATTATGGTGTTTGGTTTAGGTTAGAATATCAAATTGATATTTCTTTGTTTTTCCATTTTTATTGTTGTTTAAATAATAGTCAATGAAATTTTTCTTTTTATCGATATTTTAAAGCTGATATTCTTATATATAGTTAGTGAAAATTTTCCCATAAAGTCAGGAGTCTAAAAATATTATTGAAAAATCGTAGTATTTGAATACATTATTTATTTTATTGTCGTATATTTTCTCTCTTGTTTTTATTTATTTTTCTATATTCTTCATATTCTTTGATTCAGTGGTTCGTATGTATGTGATATAATGCAATATTTTACTTGGATGGTTTTTTTTCCCATAGATTATCATTGAGTGCAGATTAAATTTCAATCTAACCGCTAAGATGGTGGATTTTTCTTGATGATAGTATAGTATGAAAGAGAGAGTATCAAATTGCAACATTTTCCTGGGAAAGACAATCCAATGTTACTTTTGAAAAAGTTTTTCCTATATTTTCTTTTAATTCTATTTTTTCTTTAATGTGTCTTTTAGGCAAAATTCGTCAAACATTTTTTGCCTCAATTTCTATGATAAATGGATTATAAATGCAAACACCTCATTATTTTGGTGTCTGACAATAAATCAAAACAACGTTATTAGCTTATTTTGTATTGGATACGGTTAATAGATTGCTTGTATCAACAGAATGGGTATTGTATTTTATGAACAACAGGAAAATGAATTATATATGTAATTATTATATCGTTGACAAAATATAATTAAACAGAATTAAATCACTAGAATCAATAAAGATGGGAAATTTTTAAATATATTTTTTGAATTGCCATTTGTGCAAAAAGCAGTTTTTTGTCAATTATTGAGATATAGTGACATTGATGGAACAAGGTGGTTATCAATATATTTTTTGAGAAAAACTGGCCTCACTGGGTAATCTTCACTTCCGGGGTTGAAAAAAAAACAGCACACTGGAAAAGCCTTGAAAGCTGAGAGAGAATAGATAGAAATAAACAGTGGCAGTTTGGTGATTTATGGGCTTTAGTCACGAAACAGACGCTGAAAGTTTCGACGCTATATAATCACGCACACATGTTGGTCAAAATAGAAACGTCTTGTTCCATGAATTTAACCTTATCACACACTAGGACATATATAAGTGTAATTATTCTGCATTTCATTAGATTCAGTATCACGACAATATTTCGAAATGTATATATATATAGAGTAACTTTAAAACTTGTTGCTTGATGTGTTTCAACATTCATTAAAAAAAAGTTTATATAGTGAGAAAAAGAGATTAATAATAATCGGATAAAGTTTTAAAACTTTTTACATTATCTGCTATATTGTTTTCCTACAAGATAATATGGTTAAAAGGGGTTTTGATTAATTGTTTTGTATTATTTGATAATAAATGAAATTTTAATTAGTCAAAATGCAATCTATTAACATATTCATTACAAAATATATTTATTAATATTTGAAACAGTTTAGAATAATATTTCGATATGGTTATTTTTTTAGTATATTGCATAAAATGTGTAGTTAAAATTTAAATGGTAAAATGAGGGAGATAAAAACAATATTCACTTATGTGAATTTTGCGCGTATCTGCAGATTTGAGGTTGATATGCAAAGAGGAAACCCCAATGACCATTGATACCCTCCCAAAGAGGAAACCACAGTAGCGTAACGTTGTACATCATCGATCGGTTTATGAAGTTACACAATTGTTACATTTACACTTCAGCTGTTTTGTATTTTTCACTTAACGTTCCCCTTTCCCCTCTCTCTTTTTTCAAGCTTTTTTAATTTGAATTTTTTTGGAAGGATTCATAAAGTGAAAAAAATATATTGATTGACAACATAGGGTTTAGCAATTATTTCATCTGGAAAAACAGGTTAATTAAAAAACAATATTGAAATTTTGAAAAGTGAATAACGGTTTTTTTTTGTGAGAGCTTTTGTGATGTTACTTTAATGGTTTTTCGATATTATTTCCGTTTTTTAAAACGGTTTTTTTTTATAGAGATTCAACTTTAACATTTTGTTGAGAAATAATCCATTGCTTTATTGACGAGTTTATGTCATGTAATTCCATTTACTCAAAATTCACTTTGATCTGTAAAGCCGGTCAAATGTTCTTTATGGTAAAAGTTAACTTTGATTGGAGTCTGAAACTGAAATACATAACAAGCTGCTTGTGAAACTTTGTGTAAATCGATTCAGAAATGAGTTGAACAGTCCAACTGATAGTTATGACAAAGCGTTTACAGAAATATCTTTGCGTATATATGGTACTTTATATATTTTATCTCCGAGCTAAGCGGATTGTTCATTTAAATCATAAGTGTATAAGATGAAAGTTCGTTTTAATTTTCTTTGAAGAAAAATTATTTTCTAATTTGAAATTTCGAATTTCTGAAAAGTAAATTATAAATGATATCAATTAAATGCTGCTGTTTAATTTTTCGAACGATTGGAATTTGTGTCTTTATTGTATATATATTTTGCTTGAAGGATGATATATCGAATCGGAATGTAATGTTTTCATTGTTTCTCAGTTTTGGGATATTAATTTCGTAATTTGTGTGCAATAGAGTTAAATTAACAGCATTGAATGTTATCGGAGAATGTGACATCGATATTTCGCACACACACATACACATATACACGAACCACTTCTCGTGATTACAGATTCAGGGATTTCCTAGCCTATCTCTATTGTCGTACGCAGTATACTCCCGCATGTTTGATTCATCTGATCTACCACAAGAACAGAATCACGCACACACAAATACATGTATGTTTAGTGCTTTATGTTGGTTGGTGCTTTATGTGATTGCGCACATAATCTCGTGTGCATTCCTAGCGACCTAGACACGCGATTGTATCTGATAGTATCTTTACGCGTGTTGACAACGTTAGAAAGGATGTTAACATGTTTATCATTCACAATTTGTTTCATTTTTAAAAAATTTAAATTTATAACAAATATTTTTTAGGAATAATTTCCATTTGGAAAAATTATTTTCAAAAAGAAATATGTTTCTTTTTGCCACAGGGCTGAGAAATGTTTTAAGTCGGATTTTAAAGAAAGAAGAAATATTTTCAGGCGACGAAATAGACACTAAAAAGTAAGAAAGTTGATTTCGTTCTATATCCTTGGGCTAAAGGAGAATTTCTTTTGAATCTCGACTCTACAAATCCCCGCAGGTTTCTAGTTTAGGAAGCTTTGGAAAAAGGAAAAAATAATCTTTGAATGGATGATACAAAAAAAAAAAAAGAAAAACGGAAAAAAATATCTTTTTAAGTGTCGACTGCGCTCTCGGGGAATGAAATAGTTTCTTTATATATATTCCAACTGTTTCTTATAGCGAATCATAATAAGATATTTCTTTTATATATAGGTATATATAGCTATAGAAAAGTGTTCAATTCCAAAGAGAGTTTGGGAAGTTATCTAGGATTTCCTTCTGTTTCCAATGATTTCTCGAGGGATTCACTTCACGTGAACATTATTGCCTACACTGACATTTTCGACAATGTTGTGACAAGAGTTTGTGTTGGTATCTCAAGTGCATGAGAAATGCAAAATTGAACGCTATACGAGTAAATTACCATTTGAAAATATATCGAAGATCTCTCTCTGAAGAGCTCTTTACTCCTATATTGCAATTTTCTATTTTCTGATCAAAGACTTTATTCCTGAAGAGTGACTTTTTTTTTTTTTATTTACTATTTAGAAATTAGAAAATAGAATTATTATTAACAAGAGTATTTAAAAATGAGTAAAAATGGAATAATTTTTAAATTAAAAATTTATTATAAAAGCGGTGAAATTCGTGGCAAGTTTGATTGGAATTTGTTAATGTTGAGACCACCGAGTTCAATTTAGATGTGCAAATTTTCTACTAGTTTGGTGGGAGAATGGAATAGATGCAAAAGAAAAGCTAGGTGAAAAGGCTGAAAATGGTAGAAACACGAACTAGGCGGATGCTCTTGCATGCTGATGCTGGATTTTCCTCTTTTCTCTCGGTTCACCTGGCTACCGAATCGCTTATTTCCCAATTTTTTTTTTCTTTTATATTTCAAAATATAATTGGCTCAGTTCAAGGATACTTTGGTAATTTTCCCGTTTGATAGTTTTTTTATCGAATAAAATTTTAAATTTCGCATAATATTGAAACGATTTTATATTTTCTAGCGATTGTAAAATAAAAACCCAAATATTATTATTATTATTATTAATAATATAAATAATAATTGTAATAAATGATGTATAATTTAATCGATAATTGATATAAAATGAAAAGTCGCATCCTTTTATTATTTTTGATGTGTTATTTTTAATGATTCACACAATATAAGAAAATGTTGATTACTGTGTTGATTCATGCGTGTAGAGGTACATTGCTTCAATCCTTTGAGAGGTACTTCCAACACATCATCATGATGCTTTTGTGCTTCCCTTGAAACACTTCTTTTTGCCCTTCAATCTTGCGTACGGGGTGTTTACCCTCTGGAGCTTTTTTTTCTCCTCAAATACTGAACATGGCCACACTCATTTCCAACTTGGAAATTTATTTTTTTTTCACAGTGAAAATGCAATGCAAAATCTTTCAATTAATTTTTTTTTTGGTTAGTTTTTGGAATTTTTCAAACTTTTTTGATGATTGTGATATTCATTCTTGTTTTTCAAAATCGTATATAGGAAAATATTTGTTTCATTTTTCATATGTGTGAAATTCCATGTTGATTGCTACATATTTTTTCGTTTTTATTTCAAATCGTCAAATAAAAAACAAAAAAAAATAATAAAATAACAAATGAAAATGAAAATAACGTGAGAAGAATATGAATTTATATATTGAGAAAAATAAAACAAAAAAAAAAGTGTGGGATTTTTCGAACTGTTATTTAATAAAAAATGAAGGAATCTTGAAAATCTAAAGGCTAAAGCCACAATATTGGAGAGGTAAACCTGCCAAATTCCGTGAGGACTTACATAAGGTCCTTTTAAAAGAAACTTCAG